TTTACTATTTTTAATATTTTATATATAATATAATTTTTTTATTTTATTTTGAATTTAATAGATTGGTTTCTTTTTAATTTAAATTTATTTTTCATAATTTATATTATAAAAGTAAATTTAGCTATCAATAAATATATTTAGTAATTTAATAATTTAATATATTTTATTATAAAATAAATAATATTATGAATATTTTATGAATTATTATCTTTAAACAACCATAAAATTATTAATTTACGTAACTATTACAATTGTATTTTTTTATTTTAAATAAAATAATATTTTATTTTTAGTAATATAAAAAAATGATTTTAATTTCAAAGAATTAATCATTGTTAATCAAACAAATTGATTTCAAATTATAAGTTTTAAAATCACCTTGATAATAAGATCATCCCGATAATTATATTATTATGATGATTTTATAAAAGATACTAATCACTACCTAAGTGTATTTATAAAAAAAAAACTTGTACTTTTTTTAGGGTATTTGACAAAAAAATTATTTTAAAATTTAAAATTTTATTTACTTATTATTCGTTCGTCACTCGTTTAAAAATTATCCAGAATTTGTAGTTTATACTCAATTAAAATTTAATTTTAGAAAAGAAATTACACTACCTAATTAATAATATTAAAAATCATATATTATTTATATTAGTTTTTTTTATTGAAAATAGATAAACTTCATAAGAAATCAAGCAATCTGGTTAAGGGCGGACCGTCATTCAAGCAGGAGGGGGTCTTGGCCGTAGACCTATTTATAAGTCAAGTTTGAACCCGAAAATCCGCCCAAAATTTTAAAGAATTTAAACATGAATATTAACGTCGTTAAAAGGACTTTGACAAATAAATAAGGTCAAATTAAAAATAAAATTAGGCTTGAATTTCACCAATTAAGATTCTGACCATGTTCGGCCTGGCCCAAAAATAAAAAAAAGTATTATTATTATAATAAGATAATGTTCATTTGTTTTATTTTTTATAATGGATATGGTCCACTTGCTTTATTATCTATAATAGGATAAAACTCAATTTTTTCTTTATATAAAATATTAAAATAATAATTAAATTTTAAATTGTATTCAACTAAATTAAATTGAATTTAAGTCTAATAATTTATAAAAAAATATTTTTTTTAATTTTAAATACTAATACTTTGGGCGGACTTGCATTTTATTATTATATATAAAAATAAATTTGAACAAAAAATGAGACTCGAAAAATCAAGTCAAATCGAATCAAATTTAAATAAAATATTAAAATATCATGTTAAACCCTACCTGACCCAACCCATAAACAACACTACTTGACCCCCCAAAGTTTTCACAACTCTTAAGGCTCTCTCCCAAACTTTTAGCAACTCTTAGTATATATATTAAATAAACTTAAATTAGCTATTCAAAATTAAAATTGTTTGCATATGTTAATATATTATTTTCATGTATATATGTGATATAATAAGTTGTATAAAAAAATAAAATAAAATATATTAATTGATCTCTTCAAAATTAAGTTTCAAGATCCGTTATTAAATCTGGATAAACTCTTCAGAAATAATAAAGCAGATAAGAAACTTTAGAACAATTCATTTTCTTTATTTCCTTTAAATTATATATACAGCTGCATATATTTTCACGTTTTGTTATTAAATCACCTTATGAAATTTTTCCAAAAATATTTGGAAGCTAAATGGAAGTCGGCTTGTCCACGGCGAGATGGCTTGCTAGGTAGGCAGGCTTGGCCCTACACTCTGGGCAAGATTTTTCAAGTTCGGCTCGGTTCGTAAAAATATTTTTTTATTAAATAATTATATTTTTAATTTTCACATTAAAATGTTAATATAAATTATTTTAAAAATATTTTTAATAATAGATTGAAATTAAAGAGATCTAAATAAGTTTAATATCTGATTGAATTTTAGAACAAATTTTAACATATATCAACCGGATTTGACTCTATAGAGAGACGTCTTTAATTAAAAAATCAAAAGTAAAAAATATGAAAATCGGATCGAATCAAGTCAAACCCCTTTTCTCAATTTGATTTAATAAAAATGTAAACGATTAGAAACCACCCAACCAGAATCTAAATTGATTTAAAATAAATTAATTGGAATTTAAAATGATATACACTTGAATGCTTTGAAAGATTAATTTAAAATTTCATAAAATTAAATTAATTAATTTTAAAACTCAACAATTTAAATATGAAATAATTCAAACTCAATGATCCAAGACTGAATAATTGGAATGTTAAACTCTAAAAGATTCGAACTCAAAAGGATACTAATTCAAGACATTTGGAATTTTTTTTAACTCAAATTGATTTGATCAAAATTGATTCGACTTGAAATAATCTAACTCAATTTTTATTTGAACAAATGTCACCTCTAATCAGAGTAACATAGTCAAACTTTTTTATTAATTATAACTGAAAATTATAATAAAAATTTTTTAATCCAAATGAAAAATAGGCAATATTTTAATATTTTCTAAAATTTTGAGAATTTTGTAAAATAATGCTAATAATATTAGTTGTGGCAATATTTATAAGAATTAAAATTTTCGGATGATAACCGTTCAATTCAGTTCCATTTTTTCAAATATTGTATAATATTATGAAAATTTAAAATCCAATCTGAATTCGAATCCAAACCTCCATTTGATCCAATCTGAACTAAATCGAATTTTACCGATTCAGTTCAATTTTTTTGTTTTTAATTTTTAATTTTTAATATATTATTTAATATAAAATTTTAATATATTTAAGTAAATTTTGATATAAAATTATTATTTTTATTTTATAAAAATTTAAAAAATATATAAAAACTAAAAAATATATAATTCGGTTCGATTCAAATTTTTTCACCTTCTGATATAAAATTTAATCCGAATCTAATATATACATTTAATATCTAAATTTGATCTAAACCAAATAAAAAAAAAATTAATCCAAACACTACAATTTCAAATCAATTTTTTGATTTTTTGATTTTTTTCTCACTCCTACCAAATTCTATAAGAATCTAATTTTGTTGTAAACACTATTTTTTCTCCATCAACTAGCTAGTTCAATTGAACAAGAATTCAATAAAACAATCACAGCCAACCATAACAAAAAAAAAAAAAAAACAAAATCCTTTTTCCAATAAAAGTAGGAAATTACCTTTTTCATAAATATATATATATATACACACACACACACACACACACGCATTGGTGTTAGTATTATAGATAAAGAAAACCTATTACTCTATTTTCTTTCAAAATTTCCTTTTTACCTTCAAAGTGAGAGAGTTCAATAATGGAAGAAGTTACTAACAATAGCAATGGCTTAGTGCTACCAAAGCCTATAAACCTTCCCTTGATGACCGCCGAGCAGGAGAGAGATGAAGCATTCCTAAAATCAATGCCTCCTGGTTATCGGTTCAAGCAACGTGATGATGAGCATGTTCACACACACACACATTGGTGTTAGTATTATAGATAAAGAAAACCTATTACTCTATTTTCTTTCAAAATTTCCTTTTTACCTTCAAAGTGAGAGAGTTCAATAATGGAAGAAGTTACTAACAATAGCAATGGCTTAGTGCTACCAAAGCCTATAAACCTTCCCTTGATGACCGCCAAGCAGGAGAGAGATGAAGCATTCCTAAAATCAATGCCTCCTGGTTATCGGTTCAAGCAACGTGATGATGAGCATGTTCACACACACACACATTGGTGTTAGTATTATAGATAAAGAAAACCTATTACTCTATTTTCTTTCAAAATTTCCTTTTTACCTTCAAAGTGAGAGAGTTCAATAATGGAAGAAGTTACTAACAATAGCAATGGCTTTGTGCTATCAAAGCCTATAAACCTTCCTTGATGACCGCCGAGCAGGAGAGAGATGAAGCATTCCTAAAATCAATGCCTCCTGGTTATCGGTTCAAGCAACGTGATGAGGAGCTTGTTAAGTATTATTTGAAGAAGAAAGTTTACCATAAACCATTGTCACTCAACAGAAGCAGGGAGGTTTAACTCTACAATTATGATCTTGAAACTTGAACAGGTTTTTTTTTTTTTCAGATCCTTGTTTTTTTTTTTTGTTTTTTTTTCTTGGTGTTTTCTTGAATCAATAAAAATCAAGGTGCTTTTTAGAAGAAAAAAAAAAGAATGGAAATCGATAGAAAACTAAGGTATAAACAACAATATTATATCGTACTCCATGATCTATCGTTAAGATTCTTTTATTTATTTAACTTTATTTTTGCCCCAAATCCATTAACTCTATTGAAGTCTATTATCTACTGAAGTCTATTATGTGATTTTCTTCGTTGGATTAACCTGGTCATTGACTAGGTTACCTCTTTTTTTTAATTTCACTCAGTTTATTGGAAAGCACCTTGTTTTAGAATTTGACTTCATAAAGAATTAATTAATAGTGAAGAGAATGAAGGCCAAGTATCTAAAAGGGTAATCATCATATATATTAGAGTTTTCACAAACAAAGGGGAATAGAATTAAGTAAAAAAAAATTGAGGGAGAAAATCATAATTATTCTATATTATATAGTAATTTAATTCAATAATATTTTGCTTTACATAAATTTTTATGGTGTAATGGCTTGTTATATTTCTTTCTTTCTTTCTAAATCCTCCCTTCTTTTTTTAAGAAAGGTGTTGTAGTGTGGTGAATTTAAGAATTATTTAAAGGTGGGAAGAACCCAACCCTACTATGAGTGTCGTTTTATGATTAGATTTTTTAATAAAATGTTTGAGAATACAAATATATATATATATATATATTATGGACAATTTTTTTTCTATGTTAAAACAGGTAATAATTTTGATTAGAATTACTTCTCCACTTTTCTTGATCAACAAAAAATAGGGTGCATAAATTTAGGATGGCATTAATGCAATTTGCACTTAGTCATTTTATTTTCCCATTTCACTTGCATAATTCTAATACATGATCAACACAATTGCATGTAATTAGCTCACCAAGTAGATAAAACCAGACGACTGAATACAACAAATAAATAGATGGTTAAAGTTTTTTTCTTCCTTGGAATTTATTCCATTAAAGAAGCAAAGGCGACAATAGGGCTCCTCACTTGATGCAGGCCATCATCCCAAACCAAAGAACCAGAGATCATAGAGTTACCAATTTCAGCTCCAACAGTCACAACAAAGGATTGCTTTTGGCCAAGAGACTTGAAAGAAAGTACACTAGGTTGAACTTGGATTATAAGCCCTAGTGGAGCATTAACAACTGCCTTGTAAGTTGACACAGCCGATCCGACATTGGTTACTGTCCTATGAAAGACCCTAATAATAGAATTTCCAGGAGAAGCAGATAATGCAAAGGAAGGGTAATTAAGATCCCAAACTGTTCCATTTGTTTCTTCGGAACAACTGCTGTTATTTCCAGTTATGAGCTGTAGATGTGTAGGGCTATATCCTTGTCCACACAAAAATTTAACATAATCAATCTCCCCAGCATCATATATCAGTCCGGGTTGGGCTGCTAGTGCTGGATTTATGTGACCTGCCCCGTATGCAAACTCACCTTCGATGTTGTTTTCAGAACTCATTGGAAAAGCTGCAAGAAATATGGAAATTTAGATAGATTATAAGTAGATGTGAGACTTCAAACAAATCCTGTTTCATACACAACTTTAAGTACTGTAATTTCTAGTTTGAAATTGCGCATTGGCCACTCGAATGCAACTCTGGATCTGGCATAAAACTATATACCTGTTGTCATTAGAGCAGACTTAATGGCAGCCGGAGACCATGTTGGATGAAATGATTTAACATAAGCTGCCGCCCCGGTTGCATGTGGGCAAGACATGGATGTGCCAGAAATGATATTGTATGGAACTACTCTTGCATCATCTTCACTTTCTGTCACAGTAGTAGCTTCTGACCATGCCGCTAAAATGTCAACCCCAGGAGCTGTTAGATCAGGCTGCATTTAAAATAAAAAAAAAAAAAGTTTAGAACTCAGAAAGAGGCAAAGGCAGTTATAAACAGAAAATTGGAGAAATTTATTTCATTTACTTTGAGAATGTCAGCCGTAACAGGGTTAGGCCCTCTTGATGAAAATGAAACAACGAATGGAGCGAACTGATTATCTTCCACAGTGGTCTTGAATATGGTCGCGGTTGGGTTTCTATTCAAACATGATAATCATGAAAGCAAATTAATGATGTTTAACCATACTAATTAAGTTTTAAGAAGAGATATTTTGGTATAGGGAAGTTAGTAAATACTCTGTCGTGTTCACGTAGGTGAAAACATTTCTTCCATCATCTAAGTTCAAGTTGGAAAGAGGTAAAGTGTAAGCGAAGACATAATCTTTATTTCTTCCAGTCTGGAATACCGCACCAACTGCTCCTCCGTCCATTGGACCTCTCCCATTACTGTCATAGTCACAGAAAACGATTTTTCCTTTCACTAATGTTTGGTTCAATGATCCTGGCAAGCAATACCTGCATAGATCATAACAAATTTTTTGGGCATCAAGATAACGTTCAGTGTTACTTCGTGGCATAACTTTGAACTTATTGTTTGAATAAAACCTTCACAAAATAATCAATTTTAAGATTTGCAGTCTTCATACTACCTGGAATCCTCCGAAGTGTAACCTAGTGAGGTATTTGGGGCAGCTCCACCAAAGATGAAAGGGTACATTTTTCCCTTGAGATCAAATGTGTTTAAAGATGATCCCTACATATGGAAAAATTAAGGTATAATCACATAAATAAATTACTAGTCAATTTGAGAATTGGGATGGCAGTAACAGAAATAAACCTGCTTACCTCATAGATCTCACCATTTCCGAGCTTCACCTTAGTCACGAACTTTCTATCTATGGTACTAGCAGCCACTGATAGAGACCAAGGTGAAAAGTTCGTTATTGAAGCAGGACGAGGACCACTATTACCAGCAGAGTTGGACGTCAGGATTCCATTCTTCATTGAATGAAAAGTACCAATAGCAATCGAGTCTTCAAAATAATCGGATGCAAACAAACTCCCAACTGAAAGAGAGATTATATCAACACCATCTGCTATTGCATCATCAAATGCTGCAAGAATGTCCACATCATAGCAACCATCAGACCAACATATCTTGTACACTGCAATGCGGGCAGATGGAACCCCTCCGCGAACCGTCCCTTTGGCTAGGCCATATAAACTTGCCTTGCTAACAAAGCCACCTGCAGCTGTTGATGCAGTATGACTACCATGACCTTCCGAGTCTCTTGGAGATTTGAAATCGTCTGGACTGAAATCTCCATTGGCCCGGTAGTATCTAGCTCCAATTATTTTTCTGAAAGAGATTATAAAATATTGTTAAGACCAATTTCAGGATCTAATAAGTGATTTCTATATGTTTGTGTATGTTATGTAAAAGTTATGTTCGATTCTGTTTACTTGTTGCAAGTGAAATTGGCTGATGCTTGGCAAGTGCCCTTCCATTTATTTGGAAGTGCACCAAATCCTGTGTCATTAAAACTTTGAGACTCTGACCAAATCCCAGTGTCTAGCATCCCAATAATTATATCGCTTTCAATAACTGATCTTTTCACTTTTTTGGAGAATCCCATAAAGTCCCATGATCTTGAAGTGTGGAGCTGCTTCTTTTGACTGAGGAACACAGACACTACCCCTTCCTTTCCTGGAAAAAAAAAAAATTAAATCCAGAGTTACTAACAAAATGAAGGACACATGTTGGAACTCTCTTTGAATGATTATAATCAACAATAGCAATCTGTTAATGAATTATCTCCAAGTCATAAACCTCTCAGTTTTTCTGCCTCCTCCTTGGTCAACTTGGCTGCAAATCCATTGAAGCTCCTATGGTAGCTGTACAGCAAAACATCTGATCCAACAGTACTGTTGAATGCAATTTATAAATAAAGTTAGAAATCTTGGCAAATACCCAAATTCCGTTAATATGCCATTCAAATGCTAGGGAAATTATAAAAAAAAAAAATGATGGCAACAGTCATGTGATCCATCAGTGTTGAACTCTTGGTTCCTGTGATTAGGATTTAATCATGACAACCTCAAATAGCAAGCAAGAAATAGAAAAAAAAATTGACAAACCTGGGTACAACATCTTGAAGCATGCTGGTGTGATGGCTAGTAGCAGAAAAGTCACCCTTTGGAAGGTTACCCATGTAGACAATGTAGACCTGCTTCAACAATTATACAATTAACATATATCAAAAATCAATTCTAAATTTCTAAAAAGAAAACCAAATCAGCTCAGGTTTCATGGCAGGAAACCCAATGCTGGCATTGTAACAAAAGTGAAAATTTTGTTTGCCTGTCTATCATCAGAGTGTCCATGGCAGCAGACAAGCATGGTAAGAGTGAAAGTGATGAGCAAAAGCCCGGTTAAAGGAGAAGTCTGGGCTGCCATTGGTGAGTTTTCTGAAGCTTGATTTTGCAGTAGTCATTGCCCTTTATATAGGTTTTTGAGTGTAGTTGGAGCAAGCTCCATGGAATTCATCATTGTTTGAAACATCCGAGCTTTGTTAAGCTCGCCAATGAAACAAAGTATACACTGCCGGCTTTTATAATTACTATGATCTTTCTGAGAAAAACTAATTTCTGCCCATAGTACGTTAAAAGTGTTGATTACAAGGAAAAATGTTAGAAAATTCAGTTCGTCACATATATTTGGCATATTTGAACAAAAAAAAATGTTAAGCAATTTAGCAAAATACATATAAAGTACAATGAACTATGGATGAATACATGCTCTCACATTGCCTTCCGAATGATACATATTTTCAATCATTCATAAATATATATATATATATATGCTAATAGAGAAACATTACAAAAGGGGTAATTTTATATTAATACTTTAATGTTTTGAAATAAATTTTAAAATTAATTGTAATATTTATTAATAAAATAATTTAATCTAACTAGATTCAAGCCTAACAACTATGTTGAAGTCCGGCTTTCGACAAGCAATCTAACTCGTGAATACCTCTAGAAGTATGTGCTACCATTTTATCAATATCTAATAAGAATTAAAAGCCCTTAAATAGTGTTTGGTATGAAATGATTATTCTAAAAATTATAGTGATCTACATATGATAATTAGATCACTATATTTGATAAGCATTTAGTGATCTTACATGATGATGATTTTGAATCACCAAAAGTAATTAGATATTACTTTAAAAGGTGATCTAATTTCTATACGAAATGGTAAAAAAATTTTATCACCAAAGTGAAATGATATGTAAAATTAATAATAATCAATTTTAACCATTTAATATGTGAATTAAAATTTTGCTACATCTCAAAATTATAATTATTTTATATTATAAATTTTTATATTTTCAAACTAATATTCATTATAATAAGTTCAAAAAAATTTGTATATTTTTTCACTATTTTTAATATTTTATATATAATATAATTTTTTATTATGAATTTAATGGATTGATTTCATTTTTTAATTTAAATTTTTTTTCATAATTTATATTATAAAAATAAATTTACCTATCAATAAATATATGTATTAATTTAATCATTTAATTATATTTTATTATAAAATAAATTAATATTACTAATATTTTACAAATTATTATCTTTAAACAACCATAAAATTATTAATTTATGTAACTATTAATTGTTATTTTTGTATTTTTAAATAAAATAATATTTTATTTTTAGTAATATAAAAAATAATGATTTTTAATTTCTAAAAATTAATCATTGCTAAATAAATAAAGTGATTTCAAATCACGAATTTTAAGATCATCTTGATAATAAGATTATCTCAATAATTATAGTACATAGTAATTTTGTAAAAGATATCAATCACTATCTAAATGTATTTATGTAAAGACTTATTAATTCTTTTGGTATTTGACAAAAAAATTATTTTAAATTTTATTCATTATTATTCGTTCATCACTCGTTTAAAAATTATCCAAAATTTATAGTTTATATTCAATTAAAATTTAATTTTGAAAAGAAACTACACTATCTAATTAATAATATTAAAAATCATATATATTTATATTATTTTTTATTTGGAACAGATAAACTTCATTAGAAATCAAGCAATCTTATCAAGGGCGGACCCTTATTCAATCATGAGGGTGCCTTCCCCACCCCACCCCAAAAAAAAAAAAAAAAGTTTTCAAAACTCGCTCCCTCCCAAACTTGAAGCAACTCTTAATATATATTAAATAAACTTAAAGTAGCTATTCAAAATTAAAATTGTTTGTATATATTAATATATTATTTGCATGTATATATGTGATATAATAAGTTGTATAAAAAAAATAAAATAAAAAATATTAATTGGTTCCTTCAAATTTAAGTATTAAAATTCGTCGCTGAATCGGATGAATATGAATAAATCTTTCAAAAATAATAGAACGGTTCCAAAACTTTAGAACAATTCATTTTCTTTCTTTCCACTAAACAGTAAGGGTGAATAAAAGTCGAGTTGAATCGATTAGACTGATCGAAACTGAGTGAATTCGGTTGAATCGTTTTGATTTATTCGATTTTAGTTATAATCAATTTTTTAAATCGGTTAAATTGGTTAATTCGATCGATTTTCGATTTTTAAAATTAATAATCGCATTAACCGAATTAACTGACTTTCTAATAATTAAAAATAAAAAAAATTGAGATAAATATTTTTATTTTTTTTTTTGTAAAATATTGTTGAAATTATTAAATTTTTTAATAATTTAGTTTGAATAATACTAGAGTTTGAATTTTATTGAATTGAATTTATAATTAAATAATTATTCATAATAAGAAAAAAATAATAAAAAAAATCAGTTATTTAATCGAATCGATCGAATCGAACCAATTTTGATCAGTTCGATTATGGTCGATTATTTAATAATATTCGATCAGTTCTATTATTTATTAAATAAAAATCGATTAAATCAATTATTGATTTTTTCAAACTGAACTGACCATTTACTCACTCCTACTAAATAGCTGCATATATTTTCACGTTTTGTTATTAAATTACCTTACGAAATTTTTCCAAAAATATTTGGAAGCTAATTGGAAATAGGCTTGCCCACGGCGCGGTGGCTTGCCATGGCAGGCTTGGCCCTAAACACTGGGCAAGATTTTTCAAGTTCGGCTCAGTGAAAATATTTTATTATTAAATAATTATTGTTTTAATTTAAATATTAAAATGTTAATATAAATTATTTTTAAATATATTTTTAAGAATAGATTGAAATTAAAGGGGTCTAAATAAGTTTATTATCAAGTTGGATTTTAGACAAGTTTTTACATATGTCAACCAGACTTGATTTGGTTTATAGACATCTTTAATTGAAAATATCAAAAGTGAAAATTGACTCGAATCAAGTCAAACCCGTTTCTTAATCTGATTTTATAAAAATGTTAATGATTAGAAACCATTCAACTCAAATCTAAATTGATTCGAAATAAATTAATTTAAATTTAAAATGATCTATACTTGAATGTTTTAAAAGATTAATTTAATTTAATTTTAAAATTAAATAATTTAAACATGAAATAACTCAAACTCAATGGTCCAAAGTTGAATAATTTGAATGTTAAACTCTTAAAGACTGAACTAAAAAGGATACTAACTCAAGAAATTTGGAATTTCTTTCAATTCAAATTGATTTGATCATAATTGACTCCACTCAAAATAGTCTAATTCAACTCTTATTTGCTCAATTGTCACCTGTAATCAAACATAGTCAAAAAAATTTTATTAGTTATAACAGAAAATTATAATATAAAATTCTTAATCCAAATGGAAAATAGGCAATATTTTAATATTTTCTAAAATTTTAAGAAATTTATATAATAATACTAATAATATTAGTTATAGCAATATTTATAAGAATCCAAATTCTGTCGGACTCTGATTTTGTTGTAAACGCTACTTTTTTTCAGCTAGTTCAATTGAACAAGAATTCAATAAAATAATCATAGCCAAAAAAAAAAAAATCCTTTTTCCGATAAAAGTAGGAAACTAATCCTTTTTCATCAATAAATATATATACACACACACATTGGTGTTAGTTTTGTAGATAAACAAAACCTATTACTCTATTTTCTTCCAAAATTGCCTTTTTACCTTCAAAGTGAGAGACTTCAATAATGGAAGAAGGTACTAACAATAGCAATGGCTTTGTGCTATCAAAGGCTATAGACCTTGCCTTGATGACCTCCAAGCAGGAGAGAGACGAAGCATTCCTAAAATCAATGCCTCCTGGTTATCGGTTCAAGCCACGTGACGATGAGCTTGTAAATTATTATTTGAAGAGGAAAGTTTATCATAAACCATTGCCACCCAACAGAATCAGGGAGGTTCATCTCTACAACTATGATCCTGAAACTTTAACAGGTTTTTTTCGTACCTTGTTTTCTTTGGGTTTTTTTTTCTTTTCTTGGTGTTTTCTTGGAATCAATAAAAATCCAGGTGCTTTTTGGAAGAATAAAAAAAAGAATGAAAATCGAGAGAAAACTAACGTATAAACCACAATATTATATCGTAATCCATGATCTACCATCAAGATTCTTTTATTTATTGAACTTTATTTTGCCCTAAATCCATTAACTCTCCTGAAGTCTATTATCTTGCATTGATATATATATATATATATATATATATATGTATGTATGTGTGTTTGAGATTACTCCCAGGTCTATGTGATTTTCTTCGTTGGATTAACCTGGTCATTGATTAGGTTACGATTATTTTTTTGGTTACTTTTTTTACTAGTAACACTTTTCTAGATGATTGTTGCATATGGATTAATTTTTTTACTAGTTAAATTAGTAGGCTGTATATTCTGATCAGTTATGATTATTAATATGAATATTGACATGTGTGTCTAACATTGAAATCCTATTCTTAAAAAAAAAAAAGGTTAAAATCATGTTTCCATCATTTTATCACATGAAATTTTGTATGATCATATGAATTCCTTACAAGTATAAGTTTTATAATTCCATACAATTATATGGAAGTCGAAGAAAATCTATCCAGGATATATATACATATATAGATATATATATATATATATATGGTTTCTTTTGGAATATACATGTCTCTAGCAATAAAATTATATTTTAAAAGTGTTAGATTTTTAATTTCAGTTACATAAGCGTTCAAGTATTAAAAAAAATTTAAATCAATTTTGTTTCGGTTATTTTATCGAATGAAATTTGACATGATCATATGAAATGGTAGTTGAAGAACACCTAAGCATAATATATAGTTTACTTTTCTATGGAATACTTGTAGCATTCTTCCATTATATTTATCTTTATAATGAATTCCTTCTTTTTGTGAGAAGAGAGCAATAAGTCATCAGATGGAGCAGTGAATGAATGGTTTTTCTTCACACCTAGACACCGCAAATACCCAAATGGCAAAAGGCCTGGGCGAGGAGCAGGTAATGGATATTGGAAGGCTACTGGAGCCGATAAGCATATCAAGTATAAAGGAGATTTGGTTGGATTCAAGAAGACTTTAGTCTTCTACAAGGGGAAACCACCTAAGGGTGACAAGACCAGTTGGATAATGCATGAATATGTATTAAGCAATCCTCCAGCAATACAAAGAGCTGGTGCTGATGACATGAGAGTAACCCTTTTCTCACTTTTTTATTTATTTATATTTGTTATTCATTGCAGTTTAGTTTCTATCTTTAACTTATTGAAATGGAAATTTGATTAGACTCGTTAATTCATGTATTAGTATATTGTATCAATTTCATATTAAAGACATATAAAACATAAAAATTATCATGTCAAATTTATTTTGACACATCAAATATGAAATATGTTTTTTTTTTTTTTTTTTTTTTTGTTTAAGCATTGTATCTTGTCTAAAATTATGCAAGATATAGAATTGAAATATATGAAAAACTTAGAAAACCTTATCTAGCACTTAGCTCCAACACCCAATAACATAGATTAGCCTTACTTGTGGTAACTCAGTTATTGCTTATCACTTAATTATGTTTTTTTTTTCTTTTTGTTTCAGCTTGATGATTGGGTGCTATGCAGAGTGTATAAGAAGCAGTATGCAAAGTCAAAACTTGAAATCCCACGGCAGAGTACTGATCAAAAACAGGAGGAAGATGAAGATGCAATTCCAGCTCAAACAGAAACCCACAAGCAAGAATTTGGGATTCCACCTCCTCAATCTGATCAACAGTTTCAAGTCCTAGACTTCAATGTGCTGCCACTAGCACAACAAACTTGTCCAATGCCTTTTTTAAACAATGCATATGATAATTCTACATTTGGAGGACTGCCACAGTTTCCTGAATCTGTTGATTCTTTGCTGCAATATGACTCAACCATATTTTCTCAGCTGTTTGAGCCTGATTATGGTAATCCTATACTAACAGCTGCACCAATTTCATCTATACCTCCTCCTGGTCAGTTTCATTTCATTGGTGATGGTAATTTCAACATACATGAGCAGCAACAGCAATTTTCAGGTGCCCCATGCAATTTTGAGTTCTCACCTGATGATCAATTCCTTTTGAAAAGTGATTTTGGTTTGCCAAATATATTTAGAGATTTGTAGTAGTACTGTTGCATAAACTATTGGGGTTTGATTTTCTTTATTTTCTTGATGGATATATATGGTTTGATCTTTGGGCAATGTTGGCTGTTATGCCCTTTTGACTTTCTTTTTTTAGCAATTTAGGTTACGATGTGAGGTCTGCGCAATTGTATGGTACTTAGCTGCTTGGTATGTATGTTACACAATTCAATCACTGATTTGACTGAATCTTCAAGTCCAAGCCTATTGACTTTTAATCAATAAATCTTTTTCCACCCAAAAAAAAGGAAAAGAAAAGAAAAAAACAAGAGAGAAAAAACAAAAAAAAAATTTATTTAACTTGTCCCAAATTTGTGTAATATAAAGGCGAAAAAAAAAAGAAAAAAAGCAGTTATATTACATTTTCATTTACCTAAATTTGATGTGTTTCATAATTATGATATTGAAACAAATAAAATGATGGGACTCCTGACTTTATGTACTCCATCATCCCATTCCAAAGAAGCAGAAACTATAGATTGATCCGTCGTTCCTTCAATTGTTAGTGCAAATGACAGCTTTTGTCCGAAAGATTTGAATGACAGAACATTAGGATTAACTTGGATCTTAAAATTTCCTGCTGGAGCAGTCACATTTGCCCTATATATAGACATTGCTGATCCAACATTTGTGACTGTCCTGTTGAAGGCACGGCTAAAAGTTGTTGAACCTGAGGTAAAAAGAGCAAAGGAAGGATAGTTTAGACCCCAATCTGTTCCATTTGTAGCTTCAGAACAAGTAGTATTATCCCTAGTGACTAGTTGTAGAAACCGACTCTCATATCCTTGTCCACACAAGAATTTTATGTAGTCAACTTCATCAGAATCATAGATTAGACCAGGATTAATAGCTTTGATAGGATTCAGATGGCCTGAGCCGTATGCAAATTCAGCATCCAAGTTAATGCCGGAACTCATAGGGAAGGCTGCAAGGAAACATTCCAATGAGATTTTGTAGTTTAGGAAATAGTACATGACTAGAAGTCATAGCCATTACCAGTAGTCATAAGGGCAGATTTGATAGCAGCAGGAGACCATTCAGGATGAAATGATTTAATATAGGCTGCTGCTCCAGAAACATGGGGGCAAGACATTGATGTTCCTGAGATTATGTTGAATTGAACGAATCTGTTATCGCCTTTAATTTCAGAAACAGGGGAAATTAACGACCATGCAGCTAGAATATCAACTCCTGGTGCGGACAAATCTGGCTGTAATGATGAACAACAAGGAAAGAATCATTAGCATGTAAAAGGGTAAATGTACAAAGGTTAATTACTCATCAAGTTACCTTAAGTATGTCAGGTGTAATTGGATTCGGACCCCTTGAGGAGAAAGAGGCTACATAAGGAGCCATTGTGTCATTACCCTCGTTACTCTTAAATATAGTTGCAGTTGGGTTACTGTATAACATAAAAAATTTATAGAAATGTGTTAGATGGTCTTCATTTATGATAGAAAAGAGTATAGAATTTATACTAAATGAAATCGAAAAATGAAAAATCTTGTGCTGAAACCTTGTCGAGTTTATATACATGAAAATCTTGCTGCCATCAGCCATATCAAGGTAAGAAGCAGGCAAAGGAAATGAGAATGCAAAATCTTTTGGTCCCTGGTCTTGCATCACTGCACCAACTGCCCCAGCAAGGAATGGTTCTCTCCCACTGCTTAACGTGTCACAAAGAACAATTTTTCCCCTGACCAAATTGGGGTCCAAAGAGTTCTGAAGGCAAAACCTGTGATTTTTTAATCAATATCCTGATAAGGTTTCATGTTTGATGTTCCTTGTATTTGCCATTTAGAAAAGGCAATGCCTACCCAAATCTTGTTCTTTTCTTCCATTTTGTTTGAGTGGATATCGATAGTTTTTTTTCCTTTTTTTTTTTGGCCAATGCTAAGATTCAATATCTGCCTATCACTAAGAATTTCAAATTGGAAGACTGTTTTTGATATTACCTGGATGAAGCCCATGTAAAATTTCCAGTAATGTTGGGAGCACTTCCACCATGAATTATAGGGTACATTTCATTCTTCAGATCAAATGTATTTACTGATACACCCTGGATACATGCCAGACAAACAAATATTGAGTACATTTCATCTAAATGAAAAAATGTAGTTAGGCATGATTACTCCGTAGTCATAACTTTTTAAGAGATTTATTTGGTTAATTTCAATTATTTGCTTACAGACCGTCTAAACTTTTACTTTTACTGAATAGGATAGGAACAATTAATGATATTACCTGATAAATCATATTGTTTCCAAGCTGCACCTTGGCAAAAAACTTTCGGTCTATAGTGCTGGCAGCCACAGAAAGGGACCATGGTGAAAAATTCTTGATGGTTGCACGATCAGGACCATCGTTGCCTGCAGAGTTAACAGTCAACACACCATTTTTCATGGAATGAAAAGCTCCAATTGCAATTGAATCATTGAAATAGTCATTAGGAGTCCGCGATCCAACTGACAGAGATATAATGTCAACCCCATCTGCAATTGCATCATCAAATGCTGCAAGAATGTCAGCATCATAGCAACCATCTGACCAACAAATTTTGTACACAGCAATACGAGCTGATGGAACCCCTCCTCGAGCTGTTCCGAAGCCAAGGTCAAACAGACTTGCCCTGTTAACTAACCCCCCGGCAGCTGTTGATGCCGTATGAGACCCGTGGCCATTAGAGTCTCTAGGAGAAACAATGTCATCTGAGCCAAATAATCCATTGCTCCGGTAATATTGTGCTCCTATGATCTTACTGAATTTGGATAGCAATATTTGTCAGACTTAAAGCACTAGCATGACTAACTCCCCAAGAGTACTATATATAAACCAAAAGTTATGTTTATCAAGATGCATACTTGTTGCAAGTGAAGTTAATTGCTGTTTGACAAATGCCTTTCCATTTGCTAGGAGGTGGACCAAGTCCTTTGTCACTAAAACTTTCAGATTCAGGCCAAATTCCAGTGTCTAAAACTCCAATGATAACATCACTTTCCGAAGCTGCTCTTGCAACTTGTTCAGGAAATCCCATGAAGTCCCATGACCTTGTTGTATGTAGCTTTCTCTTTTCATTTGGAAACACAGATACTACACCACTCATTCCTAAATGTCCAAAGATGAGTAATTAATTTCAAGGAAAAGAACAAAGATCATGGTGAAATCATGCTCACTCACCAACCATTTTTCGTGCTTCTTCCTCCGTTAGCTCCACCACAAACCCATCGAAACTCCTCTTGTAGCTACAAAGCACTGACTTCGTGACAAAATCACTGAATCCATTTCATTAGCATAGTCAAGGCCTTGGTTCACCTTAATATACGTACTTCAATAATTTTTACTTTTATGCTTTCGGTTTTTCTTCATCTTTACAGTGATAGAGAGTTATAGTAATCATAATTGGACCAGACAATTATATGAACCAAAGTTTAGTTTCGTCTCCAATTTCGGAAGTTGATTTTAATATTGTTTGTACAAAACTGCCTTTAATCTTTGAACTGGAAGCAAATTCCTAGCAATATGATAATGACAGCAATCAAATTAACCAGCCTAGTGCATCTCTGTTCATTTTTAGTCCAACATATGTTCAATGCAAATGCGACATTATACCTGCCAAAGGCATCTTGTAGCATGCTGTTATGAAGTGAGGACGTGGAATTCCCAACCTTAGGCTGGTTGCCCATGTATACAATATAGCTCTGCAACTTCCAGGGAAAAAAATTAAAATTTATCAGCAATGATCAATTTGTCTAGAAATTGAGAAATAAGTTAAAGAGATTCCATTCTTGCTTTTTGTCATGATCATCAAAACCAGAAATGATGATTAAAAATAACTGCAAAATATTGCCTTTTTATTGGGTTGAGAAGCTGCCCTTGTAGTAAGCATAGCCAAAATAAAACCATGGAGGAGAAGGCAGTGAAGAAGAGATAATTTTTTGCCTTCCATTGGAAGAATGAATGAATAATCAACTAAAAATTTTTCATGTATGCTTTAACACTGTTTGTCCAAGTATTAGTTATGGATTTTTATAGATGAAATCAAGGTAAGGTTTGCATTAAGATAATGTATAATATGAATAAATAAAACCAAGTAAACTATATATATAAAAAAAAAAAACATGTACATGCATGACAGGTGCTGGATTGTAGAGCTATGGTGCAGGCCTGCATCCTTTTGCATTTGAAAATTAAAATTTTGAATACAAAATGTGGGATAATAATTCAGGAAACAATAAAATTATGATAATTTAAAATCATTTGAAATTGGCCAAAATAAAAAAATAAAAAAAAAGTTAAAAAAGTCATGTGAAGAACTGTTCAAATGTCAAAAGTTCCAGGCTAAGGAAATTATCTATAACCATTTATCTTGCATAATATGCCATTTGTTGGCTTTGAACAATCACAAATTTAGAAATAATCCAGGGTCTTATTCTAGATGTATATATCCTAGAGATCGAAAGTGAAATTTTTCAATGATTACTATATTTTTGCCATACAAAATGAACTTGGACAGTTAAAAGGTCAATTCCTGGAACAACTTGCCATTGAAATAATGAAAAAAAAAAAAGAATAATGACACTCCAACTGACAAGAATAATAGTCAATTCATTAAAAAAAAAAAAAAACAAAAACAAAACAGAAAACGTGCTGTTGTGAGTCACAATCCCAACTTCCCCAAGCTTCTTCGCTAATGTTGTTTGAGAATTTATATGTCTGATATAAAACTTGAAAAAAACAAAACAAAACAGAAGATATGATCGAATGATAATTGATGCTTCAACTGATCATTCTCTGATAACAATCCTCTTTGACTATAAGTTTTTTTTGTAACACCCCAACTTTATATGGAAAGATTATGAAAATTTGTTATAATATATAATTAATAGGTTTAAATTTAAACTTGTGAGGAATCTTTTATAAAACAAAAATATGAAACCTTAAAATTAAAATGGATAATATCTCTATGGATGTAAATCTTTACAAATTATATCAAAATAGTTACCAATTGAACGGGAGTTAAATGCTGCGCTTTAGGAGTCACTTTTGGAATTTCAACATCTGATGTGATTTTGATTTTGTGATTTTATCTATGTTTTATATTATGAGAATCATCTCTAAAATCTCGAAAAAATCAAGTAAGAAAATATCAAGCTTTAACGATGAAGTTTATGAAACTTTAATTTTATATCTGAAGATTTTAAAAATCTATTATGATATATAAAAAAAAAAAGCTAAAACCTAAATTTATGAAATATTTTAATAGATAAAACCATAAGATTTTCAAATCAAAACAAATAATATCGGGTGCTTCACCAGTTTTTGCATTAGGTACATCAGTTTACCGAAAGGATATGACCCTGAATTCAATCGGCATTGAATAAAAAACCATGGACCATAATATTTTTTATAAAATTTATCCTATCTATCAGCTAAAAAAATTGTTGTTGCTCTAAGGATTCTAACATAAAATTTCCTAGTCATATAAACAACTAGAATACATAAATATATTGCTGCTATAGCTCCCCAGCTTGCTTTCCACCACAACCAATTTAATCAACCTATTCCAATTTTATTTTTCAGAAATGATCTCATCTATGATAATTATCAAGAATCAAGAAACTTGGTTGGATTTTTTTTTACAAAAGATATCATAATCTAATGATAAGAGAAATGATTACATGTATTAAAATTTGAATTCTAAATCTGTTAGATATCGTTTCTTAAGCTTCGGATTCAAGATCTTTTCTTATTTTTTGTTTTTATTAAATGCTGGTTCATGGTTACAGGAAAACCAGTTTGATCTACTATTTCTTGTTCTAATAATTGTTTGACTTTGGCCATTAATATTTGTATAAAATGTTGGTTCATTAGTAATTAAATTTTTGACAGTCCAAAAGGCCAATAAAATGGAATTCAATCTTTTGTAATTATCAAGAAATTTTAAAATAATAATAATAAAAGAAGATTATTAAAAGTGGCCAAATTTAGCTGGTTAGATCTCACTGAAAGACCGTTTTAAGTGCCTTTTCGTACGTTATCCTGTTTTCTCTCTTTGGCTATGGAAAGCAATGCTTTCCTTTCTCTTCTCCCTTCTTTCTCCATGCAAGAACATGCACCAAAACAAAAACCAAATTCCTGAATTTCACTAGTCACCCTTTTTCTATCAATAATCAACATTAATCAATCATCATTTTATGGTTAGTTTCTTCTCTTCTTTCACACCTTATTTGTTTCTCAAGAACATGAAAAAAATAGAAAGAAACCACGCATATCTTTCTCTCGAAATTTTCATTGGAAATAAATAGGTTCTTAGAATTTGGTTTTCTAATTTCTTATATATATAGAAATTCACGGTAACAACTTGGATTGTTTGATTTAATGAGTTTTTTTTTTTTTTTTGGATCTAGCAGGTTTTGGATTGCATAAGAGATAAGTGTAAATGGCATATAAAGTGGATCATGAATATGATTATCTATTCAAGATTGTATTGATTGGAGATTCAGGCGTGGGAAAATCTAACATTCTTTCAAGATTTACAAGAAATGAGTTTTGCTTGGAATCCAAGTCAACCATTGGTGTTGAATTTGCAACAAGGACTCTTCAGGTTGGTTTTCATATGTGGCTTATTTGCTTCATATTATTCTGATCATTGCTACATCATTTTTAACTGAGTGATTCTGATACCTTCTATTTATTTGGACGCTAATAAATTTGTGAATCGAGCAGCAGAACAATGTTAACAAAATTTGTAGTTGTCCAAGAAGCCCTTATTCTTAGGCAAGCAAGACAATATGCATTAGGACAACTAGTCATTGATGATTTAATTGATAAAAATAGCAAGACAATTCTTTTTAGTGCTTCTTCAATAAGTACAAAAAGATGTCATTTGAGTGGCTTGTTCTTCTTTTCTTCTTCATTTATCAATATGGTAAGACACATTTCTTAACTTTTGGACATTGCTTTGGGAAGTTAAGATATAGCTCTTTTTCCATTCAAGTTCACTTGGCATCATCAACACAAGACATGGGAAGAACAAGTTGGTCGCGAAAAAATTTCGAAAATAGCCTTAAACTATATTCTGTTATCCATAGTAGGGGTGACAGAAAGATCAAGTTCAAATGCATTTACTATGCAAGCTTGCTTCTATGTATGGAGCAATGGTGGTTGTGATTCCAGTAAAATCATGGTAGAAGATAAGAAAAATTTTTATGAAAGATCTGATTGGTTACTTTGTCAAATTCGGACAAAAGCATAACAAATTAACCATCTTGGTAGGAAAAATAAGAGCAATCAGTGATTGGGAAGATATTTTATGCTTGAATTTTATCCAGTATATGGATTAGTGTATATCTACCTGAGCTTAGGAGCTGTTTCTTGCATTTCAGGTAGAAGGGAAAACAGTTAAGGCACAGATATGGGATACAGCTGGTCAAGAGAGGTACCGTGCCATTACCAGTGCTTACTATAGAGGTGCAGTTGGGGCCCTTTTGGTTTATGACATAACTAAAAGGCAAACCTTTGACAATGTCCTGAGGTGGCTGCGTGAACTCAGAGACCATGCAGATTCAAACATTGTCATTATGATGGCTGGAAACAAGTCTGATCTGAATCATCTTAGAGCAGTCTCACAGGAAGATGCAGAAAGCTTGGCTGAGAAGGAAGGCCTTTCATTCCTCGAGACTTCAGCATTGGAAGCTTTAAATATTGAGAAAGCATTCCAGACAATTTTGTTGGAAATTTATCACATAATAAGCAAAAAGGCACTGGCAGCACAGGAAGCAGCTTCCACCACTGGCCTTCATGGCACTACCATTAATGTGTCCAATCTGTCAGAAAATGAAAATAAGAGAGCTTGCTGTTCTTCCTAGAAGGTTATTTTTTTCAGTACAAGAGGTAACAGAAATGTTGCATTGCCAACCAATTTTGTGCCCCTTTTGGGACAGACATGAAAATACTTTGTTCTGAATATATATATTAATCTCAAGGCAATGTAGGAAACAGGTTTTTGCTTCATAAAAACCATAGATTAAGATTACAAAAGAGGATTTTTGCAGTGTTTCGATTTGGAATTCACAGGTGCTTTCACGGGAAATTACCAAGTATTTTTTAGTTTAGGCAAGGAGAGGCAGAAGAGGTGTTGCAAGGTGTAGCACTTGATTCTGTTTTCATTTTTTTCCTTTCCCAGCCTTGCTTATGTTGATTTGTTGAACTTGCAATAAATTTTGTAGTTATTTATTCATGTTGTAAACCAACCCCAGTTACTCCAAGATTTGGATCCATGAGATGAATACAATTTTTTTTATTTTTCCTTTTGACAGTTGCTAGGGTACATGATATATACTTGTTTGTAGATGGCAGATTAACTTTCAATTTCAAACAAAGTCTCAACAATTTATAGAAGTTGAATGGTAAAGTTGGGTTTTCTTTCAATTATTAATGGGGTTCCTGGCAAGAGCAACAAAGTTTCAGAGCCATAAAGAGGGATCATTTAAGGACAATGATGGCATGTCGGATGGAGGCTCCGGTGCCTAGGGATATCTTGGCCTGCTGCCAGGATCTGAACATGGGATGTTGTTTAGAAGATTAACTGGCTTATGTACTGCAATAGTTCTAATCTTCTGTCACCATTAAAATTTGACTTCTGTTATCATTTTTTTTTTTTTGGCTTTTGTTTTCTCAAGATACTTTGTATACATTCATTTTCTTAGTTAAGGGTTTCTTTGACTGAGACATAACCTAATAAGTAATCACAATTCTACCTAAGAATGACATTCAGGCTGTAAAAAAAGGTGGGATTGGGGTTTTCTTCAAATCTGTAGCCACTGCTTTTCCTTTTGCTTTCTAGGTCCTTACTGCATTCAACAAATTTCATTGTACTAAGGGTTCTCAGTATCGAAAAAAATTGAAAATATTACCTCAGAAACGTGTCCATGTATGGTTGATGGAATTCTTTAATTACTTAAGATTTGTACATGTCTTCAAGATTCTTTGCTGAAGCAAGGCATATTACTTAGTTATCTGCTTAAGACAGCCTCACATTTTGATGTTAAAAAGAAAAGGACAGAACAAATTTGGAGTCAGAGGGGGAGAACAACTCAACCAAACTTTGTCCATTAATCCTGGAGAATTTATTCCACTGTCACCAACTATGTCTTTGGTTCTTCATTAGTGCTGCTCTAGCTCAATTTTACTAGTATATTATCAGAGGCATCCACTAGAAAAAGATTTCCAATGTTTCTTTCTTTAATGTCACTATCTGCATATCTGACAGAATCAAGTGAAAATAGAGTTTCCCAATTGATTTCTTCTGCAGATCACTTTGAATATATGCCATGACAGAATGATGAAATATCATTTGATAAAGAGAATGGCATTGATTGATTTCTTTAGTTGAATTTAATAAAAGAATTATCAAGTATCCAATTGCTTCAAAATTAATCAAACAGCTGCCATGGAGTGGGAGGATTCTGCATTTCTCTTTGTTTTTTGTTTTCTTCTTCTTGCATTCCATGGGGAATCTAATTATCAAAATGTGAATTCTCCAAAAGTTTGCTCTTAGGCATAAAAAGATTAAGGTTTAAATGAGACCTGGTGATCGGTGTAAACCTACAGCTCTAAGTTCCAAGTTTTTATTATTATCCTTCTCCTTGTTAGACTAAAGAGTAGAAATTATAATCTCAATCAAATGATCTTCTACAAAGTTCTGATCCATGGACTGTTCATGAAAGTTACCATTTAACCATAGCCACAAAATCTGCGCAAATCCGAGGCCATGAAATCAAAACTCTTTCGAACATATATATAAACCCATATAGAGAGGGAATTGAACCTGAGTTCTAACTTGATTCTCAGACAAACCAATAGGACATAAGTAAGACTTGCATATCTATGGGATAGATAGGTAGCCAGGTTTTGTTGAACAGTTGTTTAATGGGATAGGCTGAGAATGAGAATCTAATGAAATGATAGAGACTAATAGGAGAATCTGATTTTTCTAGTCTACAAAGTATTCCTGGAGCTAAAATTTAACTAGATTATCATAATCTGGTCCACCAACACTAAAAGTGGATGAAACAATTCGTTATTAGAGAATAATTTTCAGAGAATCAGTTTTAACAGATCATTTGGCCAATATTATACACTTCTGTCTGCTTTTCAGATAAAAAACAGCATACAACTTTCAGTTTTATAATCTAAAGGCTGAGAACCTTTCTGTTTTTCACTGTCAAAAGATACAGTACTGTAAAAAAGCAGTCAAAAGTTTAACTAGCTAAGATAAGTTTATTTAATTTAAAGTTTAAAGTCTTCAGGAAAATAAAGGCCGGCCTTGAAGAATTTACCTACGAAAAGCACTTCAGACCTAGGCTAGTAAAGCATTCAAAACATAAATTTACAAATAATTGTAAGGAGCACCCAAGCATTTGGCTCAGTCTTTAGTGCATGATCCACTGCTCCAAGGGTAAGGCTCGAATCTGGAATCTCCCCTTCCCCGAATCAAGAAAAAGAATTGCAAAGGCATATAGATAAAGCTACATTGCATAATAGTTAGAATATGATTTGATTATATATATGGAGTGTATGTACTATAGCAATTTTATTGTTTCTTTTGAATAAATAAAATACAACTTATCCAAAAAAAAAAAAAAAGAATTGCAAAGGCATTGTTTTTATTTGAATTAATCAACCAATTTTAAATTGCAAATCACTATCATCCATTATCAAATTGGATGTTGTGTTCTTGTTAACAGATTTTCCTGAGGAGGATCAATCTGAGAATCTGATTTCTTATTTTTATGCCATCATCTTTTCCATAGCATATAGACAAAAGCCAGCTAGCTGCCATGGACAGGAAACCAATTGAGTGCCAGTACAGCAAACCTTTTACCATCCTCAAAAGTTTGAAACTTTCAACCTCCTTATACATGAGAAATCTAACATGGGTAAATCCCAAATATATGCTTGAATTGCCACTGATTCAATCATTTAGCATGTTTAACAATTTAAGATTAGGCTACTAATATAGAATGTGCGCTTACTTGTCAACTAGAACGATTTCATTTGATGTCTCTTCAAGCACTTTTCCAATATCAAAAGAGAAATAATTAATCAACTGCATGATTATGCGATTGACACATGCTAATCATATCTGAATATTTTGGAGCTATATGTATAATTGATATGGCCTAGTGTTGTTTTACTTTTTGGAGTTAAATTAATGAAAAAAGGGAAAAGAGTATATGGAACTATATATATATATATATATAGGCATGGATTCTTTTTTCCATATGTATTTCTAGCAATGAGATCTGAGTTTAATATCTCAAAAAAGGAAGTAATAGAACAGATCAGCTCCAAACAATAGTTTTAGATCTTTAATCTAACATGATTGAGAACTTAGATTGATATCCACAGAAAAAAAAAATCCTTTACTTTTTAGTATATATAAAAGCAGTGCAGTAGCAAGAATACCCTCAACTAACCATCAAAACTATTTTTTTTCTTAGTCAGTAAACTTTAAATGGAGCAAGAAGCAAAGAGAAATGATGGTAATGATGGAGGAAAAGATGAAGAGAAATTGGTTCATGATTCATCAGTTGATCATAAGGGAAAAGTTCCTCTAAGAGCCTCAACAGGTGTATGGAAAGCCTCTCTCTTTATCATAAGTAAGTATATCAAGATTAAGCTTTACAATAGTTTCCACTAGCACAATACATCAAAACCTGCTGATCCTTGTCATATAATTCACTGTTTTATTACAATTATTTGAGGATGATCGATCACCAATATACAGTATCTCTTGTTAGAAAAAGATTTCAGTCATATAATGGAGAGTAAACAACAACTGAATAATATATTTACCTAGTGACAAAGTGCTTGATTTTGGGGAAGACAGAAATGTACATGTTTTGAACTGATTTTTCATGTAAACAGTCTAAACTCAAACTGTACTTGTGTTTTCGAATAAAACAAGTGCTAGAGAGTTTGCCTTTAAAAGGTTTCCTGTCATCAATAATACAGTAATGTAATGTCTAGGGACACTAATGTGCATGGATGAGGTCAGTGAAAGCCTCATGTCTAGCTTTATCTTGACCAGAACTATCTACTGTTTTCAACAGTCAGCTCACATGTGACATTAACTTGACAAAAAAACAAATGCCAATTGGCTCAAACAGTTTTGTGAGTTTTTCTTCTTTGCAAGGGCATGTTTGTGTGTTAGTGTCTGTCTCCAGGGTTAAGTAATTTTGCCTCCATCAAGGTTGCCAACCTCGTTGATATTGGACAGCTTTTTGCTTGAAATGAAATAAAGAAAGCTAAAAGACATTGGTCTTTCTATTTCAAGGTTGCTTTAAACTGAGGGATGCCATAAATCTAGCAAACAAAATTGACCTTAAAGAGGGAAATGAACAGATAGTTGAACCTTGGCCTCTAGAGTGTCTCCATTTTTATGAGTATAGCAATCAGCCTAATTCCCTGCTTCAATCTTTGGTTAATTCTAACCCAATGGTTAGAGAAATTGAAAATTGTACTAACTCCCTGTCAACTTTTGGAGCAGCAATTGAGTTTAGTGAAAGGCTAAGCTACTTTGGAATATCAGCAAATCTCATTTCATACCTAACCAATGTGCTTCATCAAGACCTGAAAACGGCTGCAAAGAATGTAAACTACTGGACTGGAGTCACCACAGTAATGCCTCTAGCTGGAGGGTTCGTAGCAGATGCTTACTTGGGCCGGTTCACTATGGTTCTGATGTCATCCCTCATTTATCTCATGGTAATTTCACTTTTTAAATCAGAAAGAAATAAACACTGCCTTGATTTAAAATAGAAATGATTTTATGACTAAAATGATGTACTCATGTACTCAGTCTTTATGTATTCTTTTTATTGTGAAAACCAGGGTTTGAGCCTCTTGACAATGTCTGAATTGGTCCCAGTTATAAAGCCATGCAATTTAGGCATGTGTCAAAAACCAAGGAAAATTCATGAAGTGCTTTTCTTTGTTGCATTGTATTGTATCTCCCTTGGAACTGGAGGGCACAAGCCTTGCCTTGAGAGCTTTGGAGCAGATCAGTTTGAGGATGACCACTTGGAAGAAAGGAAGAAGAAGATGTCTTACTTCAACTGGTGGAACGTTGCACTTTGTTGTGGACTTTTACTTGGTGTAACAGTCATAGTTTATGTTCAAGACAAAGTGAGCTGGGGTGTTGCAGACCTTATCCTCACTATAGTTATGGCAGTTACAATCTTAACTTTTTACATGGGGAAGATTTATTATCGATACCAGTTACCCGAAGGGAGTCCTTTAACTCCATTGCTGCAAGTTCTGGTTGCAGCAATAAGGAAGAGAAAATTGCCTTATCCTTCGAGTCCTTCTCTACTATATGAAGCACCAAAGTTAAACTTGTCCCAAGGAAGGCTTCTATGTCATACAAGTAGACTTAGGTAATTTAAGTTTTTCACTAGAATTTAAGCTTAGATAAACATAGATTCTAATCCATTTAATCTGATCGGCAGGTTTCTAGACAAAGCTGCAATAGTTGAAGACAGTGAAAACATTTCAACTGAGAAGACTCGTAATCCTTGGAGACTAGCAACAGTAAAAAAAGTGGAGGAAATGAAGCTTGTTTTAAGCATGATTCCCATTTGGCTTACTTCTTTAGTATTTGGAGTGTGCGTGGCACAAGCTGCAACTTTCTTTGTCAAACAAGCAGCTACCATGGACCGAAAGATCGGCAACAAATTCGATATTCCACCAGCATCTATCTATTCTCTCGCTGCAATTGGAATGATGGTTTCAGTTATTACGTATGAGAAGATTCTAATTCCATTCTTAAGGAAAGTTACTGGCAACGAAAGAGGCATAAGCATCCTTCAAAGGATAGGTATTGGGATGATATTTTCCACTCTATCCATGGTTACAGCAGCTTGTGTTGAAATGAAAAGGCTGAAAGCTGTTGAAAAGGAGATCATACAAGGGGGGAAAAAAGGGCCATTGTCAATGAGGGTGTTCTGGCTGGCTCCTCAATACATAATCCATGGCTTGGGAGATGGTTTTGCTTTAGTTGGTTTGCAAGAGTATTTCTATGATCAAGTTCCTGATTCAATGAGAAGCTTAGGAGTAGCCTTTTATCTCAGTGTGATTGGTGTTGGAAGCTTCTTAAGCAGCTTCTTGATCATAATTGTGGATCACATCACAATAAAGGATGGCAAAAGTTGGATTGGCAAGGATTTGAATATGAGTCGTTTGGACAATTTTTATTGGATGTTAGCAGCCTTAATTGTACTAAATTTAGGTGCTTATGTATTCTTGGCAAGGAGGTATTCTTACAAAAATGTAGAAAGAGGGGTTCTTGTGAGTCATTGCCCTGAAAGTGATGGGGCAGAGACAGTTTTGTAAATTTTTTTATAGTATTTTATCTAACTCTAATCCAACCAAGTGATTCCATTGGCCTAAACTCCAAAGTACCATATGCTACATAAATTTTGATCAATATTCAATATACTTTTTCTTGAATAATGTTACCATCCATTAGATTACCAATGTTCAACATGCTATAGCTGACTGTGGAAGGAAAAGTCCTTTTATACTCAATGCCCTAACAGAAAGAAGAGTCCACATATTTGAGATTGACAGTGTGACCTACTTCTGTCTTTCATACTTCACGTCCAGGCCTGTCCTGATCATCTCTATCTGTACTAAAACTGCACAACACTGCAATCACAGAAGATTGTTATCATAAGTTCATTACCTCTTTCATTTCCTTCATCAACCATTCTCTTCCTCTCCTTTTTTTTCATTTTATTCTCTCAATATTCTTGTCTGGAACTCATCACCAGATCTTCATTTTTTTTCATGGCACAAAATAATGAACTCATCCATATACCACAACAAAATAGAAGAAACAGGCTTAGAGTCACTACCATTGGAACCAACCCAGAAGAACAAACCTCACAATCTTCACTTCTCCAACTAAACCAACCAGCATTACTTTCTTCTTCTCGTCAACCTACTATCATGCACACTTTCCCACAAATGCAAAACCCAAGAGATATTAACTACCAGTTCTTTAATGGCCAGGGTTTATCTTTGTCTCTATCTTTTCAACACCAGGATAACATGAATCTCCCATTGAACTTGGATGCACAAAAAGGCAATGGTAATTCAATCTTGGGAGGTTTTGTGAAGCAGAATGGCCAAATGAGAAGTTCTCTTCCACTTGGTCCTTTCACTGGCTATGCATCTGTGTTGAACAGTTCAAGGTTTTTGAAACCTGCACAGCAGATTTTAGATGATTTTGTTGGTGTGGATTATAGAGTTTTAGACTTTCCATTGGAGAGCTTTGGTGATGCTGGGGTTGGTGAGGATCCCATTTCATGCAGTGGCAGAATTCAGCATCGTTGGAAAAACTCAAGGCTCATTCTGATACTGGATGAGGTAATGCATGTTTCCTGTCACTATCTTACTTGAGACTTTTCTATATCAAAACACAAATGTTAACTTGATTATGTTAAGTTTTTCTCTTTTTCCTCCATGCGAAGGGTAACTTTCAATTCTAATTTTGTGATTAAATATAAAAGAGTAAGATGGTAAGCAGGTTTAAACTATTGCCATGAAACAAATAAATGGAGCTTAATCTTATGGGAATGACAGCGGCGGAACTTAAGTTTGATTTTCAGTGACCATACCGTAGAAATTTAAAAAAAAAAAAAAAACAGAAAAAAGATGATGATTGTGATATATTCACTTCCTTTCAATTGAAATTGAGTGTAACTGATGATTTAATTGTTTCTGTCAAGGAATCAGTATCAGTACCCTCGGGGTAAGATATCTGATTTAATTTCGTAGAGATGGCAAAAAGATGTCTTGTCTTGTCATATTAAATCATGTTACTGTTCCTTTTTTGTTTTGTTTTGTTTTTGCATTTTCTCTTTGTATTGTTCCCTTTTAATCTTTTTTTCTTTTTCTCTTTGTATAATAGTTTTAAATTAAAAAACTACTGTAGTCTTCATCTCTGCTAGTGTGTGTTCTTCTGACTGCACTGACAGTGGGGCAAACCACTCTAAGCTGCATCTGAACCTGAAAGCTTTCTCTGTTAGTGAGGCTTGTTGAGCTTGTATGGGTGACATTGGGAGACACAAAAAAAAGGGTAATGCAGCTCCTTGTTTGGGATCCGATCATTTAGAGAGCATAATTCTTTAAAGAAAAAGTAAGAAACTTTAGTAGCGGTAGACCTATGGAGAACAAAGAAACAGCCTGAAACAGTGCTTGTTAAATTTTCAATTTCCTGCCATGCTTGAAATTTAAATTGCCTGCTTAAGATGAAATGTGGCAGCAAGGGGTTTCACATGTTTAAGTAGCTAGAAAGCTAATGCTTGCATCAAATGTTTAGAAGAATTATATTTTAGGATAATCTTCCCTATGGCAATGGTGGGAGGGAAACAAACTCTTCTCATGGACTGCCAGTCTCTAGACTATGGAGACAAAGGGATGTTGCCTGTAATATCTTATGGTACTCAACCCTGGAGTGACTGTCAGATTTAGTTATTAGTCTGATACGGGTAATTTTTTTTTTTAAGATTTTTTTATATGTTTAGAGGGTCGGACCTCTACATTATGTTATTTGAATGTGTCCAATATGAATATTTCAAATAAAATGATGAGTAGAGCAACATAAAAAATATTTACATCCTAGCAAACATGTTCCCTGTTGTCTACAGTTATGAACTGTACTTGATTCTTAAAGCTATTAAATTTTCCAACACAAATTTTAGGTAATAAGATTCAATTTGTTTTAAAAAGTTATTGGTAGTTGGGGAGATTAATCTGCTTTAACTTGTTCTTTCTTCATCCCATTAGGTGTATAGGAAATATAAGCTGTACTGCCAGCAAATTCAATCAGTTGTTGCATCATTCAAATGTGTTTCCGGACTTGGGAATGCAGCTCCTTATGTATGTTTTGCGTTTAAAGCCATTGCAAAGCATTTCAGCTGCTTGAAGAATGCCATTCTAGACCAAATTCGGTTCACAGAAAAGACAATTGATAATGTTCCAACATCTAATCAAGGGCTTAATAACCAAAATCCTATCCAGAACTTGACGTTTCTTCAACATCCTCTTTGGCGATCTCAAAGAGGACTTCCAGATCATGCAGTTGCTGTGCTCAAGACATGGCTGTTCGAACACTTCCTGCATCCGTGAGTGATTGTTTAGAAACTTTTCGATACCATGTTGTCCAAATTTTACTCTCCATTAATACTTTCTTTAAAAGCTGTTGAGAAACAAACTTTATGTTCATCGCAGTTATCCTACAGATTCGGAAAAGCTAATGTTAGCTCGACAAACAGGTCTCTCCAGGACTCAGGTGAACTTTGCCAACATCCTTTCCCTGAGAACCATTATTTTTTGCTCGTCAGGATTGGCTAATGCAGCAGCTTTTTTTACAGGTTTCCAATTGGTTTATAAATGCAAGGGTAAGACTGTGGAAGCCAATGGTGGAAGAGATACACATGCTTGAATTAAGGCAAGCTCGGACACTATCATCAGAAGCAACAACAAATCAAGATGCTAAACTGCCATCTGAGCTCCTCCTAGACAAATTGCCACATTTCACTGCAAACACAGAAGTTCAGAATATCCAAACTAAACGCCCAAGAAATAATATGTTGTACGCAGATAAGGAAACTGAACTGCAGAAGAGTGTATCTTACACTAACCAGCAGCCAAGCAATCACCACCAACTCCAACTTGGTGGAACCAGCAATTTCTGTTTAGAATTGGGTCTCAACCAGAACAATGGAATTGACTTGACACAGTCATTGCCAATCAATTTATGTCACAATCTCAACTTTGAAACTGACGGTGATCAGCTGAGTTTGAAAGCTGGTTTTGATGGTGGAAGACAGCACCATGGAAAGAATTTTTAAAGGCAGCCATGAATGGAGGATTGGAGAAAATGTTCTGTAAGGCAAAGCACAAAGTTTGTTTTTGTATGTTAGTTCATTTCTTCTATCCTGCCTTGGAAACTTGGAACTTTTACAATATAATTGGAATTTGCTAATCTTTCTTCTGCTATTTTTTTTTAAGTTCTTCGTGAGATTGAATGTGCAATCCTATCTTGGTTCATACCCACCATAAAATTTCTAATCTTCCATGACCTCAATTTTCAATTTTATAGTGATAGAACTAAAATTATACTGATAAAATTTCTTTCTTTTTTCCCACATTTTTGTATTTTATTGTATGATAAAATGACTAGTAAGTTAGTGACCAATTAAGTTCTATTTCTTGAAAAAATTGTCTTAATTTAGAAAAATAGACTCACGTCATCACGTGAGCTTATTTTTAATAAAAAAATATATATCTTTTTTTTTTTTACATTATTGACACGTTTAGTTCATGAAATTATTTTTTGAAATAAAATATAGAATGAATAGCTATTATATATATATATATATAAAAGAATAGTATTAAAATGTCTAATTAATTAAAAGTATGTAAGAAATTTAATAAGAATGAGTATAAATGAAAAAATAATTTTTATTAAACAATATTTTAATAAAAATATTTTTTATAAAAATAATATTTAAATAAAAATTTCAACATTTAATATTTAAATAATCATCCCAATTTCAAAAAAAAAAAAAGGGGAAAATCCTATGAAAATTTTTGTTTTGATTGACATCTTTGTACCAAAAACAAAAACAACGAATCACATTGTTAATTTTAGTCACGATTCATACTTAATTAAGAAAAAAAAAAAGTAAAAAAACGAAATTTAAAAAAAAAAAAAGAAAATTTGTCTAAAAAGGAAATAATTAAACCAATAAAATTATTAGAGATCATTTCACGGTTGCTGTTAAAAACTTTAAAATTGTTTCTAGAAAATAATAACATAACCGATTAAAATTGGAAAATATATAAATAATTGAAAAAATCTAATAAGGTTAGTTAATATTCCATTTATCGTAATAAATCAATATTATTTTATATTATTCTTAAAGCTCTTGATTTGGTTTATGTCATAGGTCAAATGAACTATTGATAAAATTACATAAAATTAAAATAATAATAATAATAATATAAACTGCTTTTTTCTTTTAAAAAAATAATTTTTTATTTTTTATTTAAATCATCAAAATTTCCTTAATTTCTAATTGATATCTAATATATATATATATATATATAATATAACAACATATATAAACAATTTTGTCACATGAATGCCTCTGTGAATAATTCTCTTAAATGACACATAAGATAATTTTTTAAAAGAATAAGATAAATTTTTTAATTATAAATTAGATAATTTAAATTTATTCAAATATCAAAATTATTCAAATTATAATTTAAAATTAAATCAATCTGGAGATATATTTTTTAAAATTAAAAATATGAAATATAAATTTTATTTTTTAATAAATAATTTTAGTTGTTTATCAAATAACCTTATTTAAAAAATTATTTAATTATAAAATATTTTTAAATATTTTTAAAAATTACAAATGTTAACTTTATCCAAAATTTTTAATAATCTTTTTTATCTTGATTTAAAAAATTATTTTTTAAAAAAATTTACATAAAATATTAAAAATTCAAGCAACTTTATCTAAGATTTTGAAATTTAAAAAAAATTTCATCTTAAATTTTTAAATAATAAAATCATAAAAATGATTATATCTATTTGAATTTTAATTATCAAATTTATATTTCAAATAAATGTAAAAAATTTAATATTATTTTTATCACTTATTATATCTATTTTAAGTTTTAAAAAATTAATTTAAAAATTATCTATTTAATTTTAATTACTACTAACGAATTTTTATACAAATTTAAGATTATAAATGTAATGTGTTATACATTAATTTTTTTATTTTTTCAATAATTTTTTTCAAGATATATTCTATTACTATTGCAAATTATTTTTTTATAATATTTTTTCAAAATATATTTTATTATTATTACAGTTTCATTATTATGAAAAAATATTTTTTTTTCAATTTATTTTTTGACATTTTTTTAATATTTTTTCATATTTTACATAATAATTTAATCAAAATTACTAAAGTGAATATGTGTTAATATTTATTTTATTATTTAATTTATCATTTAATAATATATTTTTATTTTTTTAAGAAAGTCATAATTTATTTTTATTTGATATAATTTTACACATGTATAAATATTATTGTAAACAAAAAGATTCAAAAGAAAATTATAATTTTTTTCTTGCTATTTTCAGAAAATTTATTTTTTTAATGATAAATCAACATATATAAACTTTATATATGCTACAAGTTTTAAAGATTTTAATATAATTTTGAAAAGAAATTAATTTATATATGTATATATATTTATATTAAATAAGTAAAATTCTTTCGTACATCACACAATGTGTAATTTAATTAAATATAATGAATGACTATTATATTTGACAATATAATCAAATTTGAATAAATTTTTATTCATTTCGAATTTGATAAGATATCTTAATAATTGAATTTGATTTAATTTTTTATATTTAAATTTGATTCTAACATAATATTATATAAAATCGTAATAGATTTGATTTAATTCGAAATTAATAAATTATTTTTTATATAAAATATTATTTTTAAATATAAATATAAAATTAAATAAATAACAAAAATATTAAATATATATAATTAAATAAATAATAATAAAATATTATATATATATCTTAGATAAGATCAAAATGAATTTATCTAAATTTTGATCTCAATTTTTTTTTTTTATCTTAAACCTCAATCGATCGAATCTAAAATCTGACTTTTTAAAAAAAAATTAATCTTATAATATCGATTTATATTGAAATCCGATAGACACGGATTGCATCGTCTATCCCAAGAACGAAGAAAAACATTGAATGTGGCCAATGCCAGCTCGTGAGAAACAAAAATCAACGAAGTTTCAAAAGGTCCACGTGGAAGCATCTGACTGAAGGAATTATTAATCTACTTTGTACTTTAACAGCTGTTAATCACAGGTCATCAGAAAATCCAACTCAAAAGAATATACGCCTCAGATATTCTACAGCTGTAAAACTCACCTACCACCGTTACCATCGTAACACATCATGAAATCGTAATCTCATGTTTATTCAGCCCAAACCATTACTAATACAATGTATGATTTAATTTCTCATGAAATCATACATTCATAATCTCCTTTAAAAATGTCTTTAGGACAGAAATTTAATTTGTTATTTTTGAGTATTTAATTCAATAATGTGTCCTTAGGTCAGAAACTTTATTTTTTATTTTCAAGTATTTAATTCAACAATGTTATCAGTACGTATTTTTTATTTAAAAATAAAAATTTTGATTAATAAATATTTATAAGTATCGATAAAAATAATTAAATTATTATTTTAAGAATAATTTTTTATTTAAATGAAACCCTTAATTAAATAATAAACTATTTAATAACAAAGTATGTGAATAATGTAAATTTTAAGAACAAAAACTATATCAAACCTCTATGTTTTTTAATTCTTTGGTATTTTCTTAAATATTTTTTATTAATATTTTTTATAAAAAAAAATAAAAAATAAAGAAAGTGATTGAAGAAAAGTTTGCCTTGATATAAAACGTCAAACAGATCAACGGCTGCAGATAACAAAGGACGTCTGTTCGGACTTGGCCGAGTTAGGTGATGGTAAGAGATAACAGAGGGAAACGACATCGTACCACTTACCCTTCAAAAAAGCATAAAAAAGATTGAAATTTTGAAGCAAATAAACCAAGAAAAATTCTTAAGATTCTTATTCAAGCTTTGTATTTTTTTTTTCCTTTTTCTATAAAACCAAGGCCTTGTATTTTTTCTATTAAAGTTTCAATCTCTGAGTAAATTTTGCAACTTTTTTTGGGTTTCGTTTAGATATGCAAACAGAAGCAAGAGTTGGGGTGGTAAATCCAGGCCATGGGGGAGGAGGGGGAAATAGTGGGGTGGAGACAACAAGCTTGAAATTTAAGCAGCAACAGCAAGAGTTATTGCAAGCTCAAAAAACCCAGATCGGGACTGTCTCTCAGTTGCTTGCTGGTGGGGTTGCTGGTGCTTTAAGCAAGACTTGCACTGCCCCTCTTGCTCGTCTCACCATTCTCTTTCAGGTTTTGTTTTGTGTTTAATTATTTTTTTTCAACTTTTTAAAGATATTTTTGGGTTTTTTTAGAGGGTTTTGGGTTAATGGTATTTAGGTTTGATGTTATATATTGAAAAAATTGTGGGTTTTGGGAAGGGTAGGTGCTAGGTGGTTTACTTTTTAAAAAATATATATTTTGAGGAATTTTGCATTAAAGATGATAATTTTCTGATATTAGTATATGTTTCGTGAATTGAGATGAATGTGTATAAGGGAGAAATAGCTCTGTTGACCCTTTAGTCTGCTTCTTTGTGATATGTTGGTTTTGTATTTATAAGTCATTGACGCAAATTATCTACACCCAAACTGGTCAATTAGAAAATATGAAATGGCTTGATTATGTTATAAGCTGCTGCTTTTTTTTTTTTTTAATCTATGAAGTTCAAAATATCATGAGGTTGCTATGATTCTATGAATTATGGAAATGAATGCTACTGAGGATTGAGAACATTGTTTTCTCCTTTTGTGATATCGTTCGTTTTAGATTAGTTAGGGTAAAGTATGTAATGTGATGTGATATGGTGATGTCTATGCAACGAGCCTTCATAATTGGATCCCGGTAAAATGTTGTTGTCCATCCATTATCTGTTGAATCCTTGTTTTTGTTACAAAACTAATTTTGCTCAATCTGTATGGCACGTGCTTGATATTATGATAGTTTCTCATTTGTATTTTTCAACCTTTCATCGTTAATTATGGTTCCAGTGATTTGTTTATTAATCCTTCATGAGGTGGTAACCAATTTGATATTTTACCTTATTTGATTTACTTTGTTTTTGTCATCATATTTCACAGGTGCAAGGTATGCACTCTGATGCTGCAACATTAAGAAAAGCTAGTATATGGCGTGAAGCATCACGTATTGTTGGCGAAGAAGGTTTCAGAGCCTTCTGGAAAGGAAATCTGGTTACAATTGCACATCGTCTACCATATTCTTCTTTAAACTTCTATGCCTATGAGCAATATAAGAAGGTCGGTACAAAGATTCTAGACATGAACCTTCTACAATACCATTACATCTGTATTTCGGTGAATTTTGCTTTGGTTTGGTTAGGATTTGATCCTTTTTGACCTTCTTCTTTCTGGGAAATTTCATCCTTACATTTTTATCTTTATTTTTTTTTGTCAGTTACTGTATATGCTTCCAGTGGTGGAAAGTCGTGATGAAAATATTAGTGCCGACCTTTGCATACATTTTGTAGGTGGTGGCTTGGCAGGAATTACTGCTGCCTCTGCTACTTATCCACTGGATCTTGTCAGAACACGTCTTGCAGCCCAGGTTAGATCCATATGTCCTTCACAAAATATTTTCAGGAAAATCATTTGCTTCTTGTTATTAGTGTTGTATATTGCGTTTGATGTATGGAAAAGTACTCATTAGCATTGTTTTGGAAGGGTAGTGCTGCCTTTCTGCACTTTTATTGGATTTTTCTGTGCATTTAAATATGTTTTCCTTGCTTGGCCACAACTATTAGAAGACTTCCTTAAGTTGGTGAATATTGTTTCTCTTTTTTCTTTGTTTATGTTTCCTAATCAACTGAACTTTTGTCATTAAGTGCTAAGTTTACATGAACTGAGATGCATGCATGTGCTCCCATTTGGGTTTGGACTGGTCTTAGTTGTGACATTGAGTAATTGCAACATCTAAATCTTAATTTGCCCTGCCGTTTACATAATTTTTGGTGCATTTATTTGGTTCTTAGGTTATGGGTACACTAATGAGTGGTTATGTTAAACCTCTGCTTTGCTTCTATATACAGACAAATGTTACATACTACAGAGGCATTTGGCATGCTTTACAAACTATTTTCAAAGAGGAGGGTGTTTTGGGCCTATACAAGGGACTTGGAGCGACACTTTTAGGTGTTGGACCCAGCATAGCTATTAGCTTTTCTGTATATGAGGGCTTGAGGTCTTTCTGGCAGTCACAAAGGTGATTACTCCTCTTGATTAACTTTGCCTTCTTGTGATCATTATTTCATAGATCAGCCTTTTCTAAGCCCAACTCCTATCTCTTTCTTAATAAAAAACTTTCTATCAGGCCCCATGACTCCACTGTCCTAGTCAGTCTATCTTGTGGCAGTCTTTCAGGGATTGCATCGTCAACAGGTGAGTGATCTTCAGACGATCTGTGTTGGAAAACTTAATTGCAATTTTCAGAAATCTTTTGTGTTCTATTTTCATTCTTTTTTTTTTTTCTTTTTTTATATATTTACCATGTAAAGGAGAACTTTATTTTGATCTTGCAATTGAAATAGAATATAATTGTGGGTATCTACTTTACTGCATTTTTTTTCCTGAATACCTTTCTTTTAGGTATATATTTTGTCTATTTTCAGTTGTCGTAACAGAGATATGGCTGTATCATGTTGCATAAATTGTCGCTTTTAATACTTCTGTAAACCATCAGTTAAATGATTGGTGTAAGTGTGCCCAAAGCTGTTTTGGTAGAAACGTTTCTGGTTGAAATACTTTTATTTACTTGATCTAACTATGTCATTACATAACTATAGAGGTTAATCCATTTAGCTGTTTACTATGCTTTTGATGCAGAGAAGCAGGCTATGGTGCAGGCTCTGCATTAATTATCTAAACCAGATTGAACCCTAGAGCCAGAGACCCAAACCGGAGTTGTTTTTTGTCTGGCATTTGAGAACTTAGTAAGGAAGTCAACAAATTTACCATTTTCTGTGTCATTCTCTACCGTTATTTATTCTTATGTAGAAAATCATTCTTGGATTAGCATCACTATACAACATTTCTTCAACAACTTTTCTCCCCAAGGATTGCAGTTTGTTCCATAATGGAGTGGCACTACTCTCAGGTGAACTAATACTGCTTCCTCGAGATGTCAATGTGAGAGGTTTCCTCCTTGATGTGTGCTTCTCAATTAGGCTTCATTGCCATATCTTAGTGGATTGGAGTCCTTGAGACCTTGCTGGTGCAGTTGGCCAGGAACTCTCCATCAATTGGGTATCAAATGTGGAGTAAATACAATAATTTTATTTTCCTCCCATTCACTGAAGATAACTTAAGCCAGATGTTTTTTGCTAAAAAATAGTGTTTAAATGGGTGGAAAAGGTCCAATCAGTAATCTCTATAAATGGAAGCTAATTGGTGCTCCTATTGAATTTGGTAAGTCATGTAACTCATGCACCTTGCAATTGTGGACGAGATTATGCACCTGGACCTAGTTTCTGCCTCATTTTGCACTCTGGAGTTTATCTCTCGTCCCTTAGGGTTGCTTGGTAACCAGGTTTCTAGCTTTATACCATGGGTGACGTTGTTGGTCCTGTTTCAAGTCTTGGACCTTTCGCTAGCTATAAAAGGTCTATGAGGTGTCGAATGCAATACCTATTTGGCCCAGTCAAAACCTGCATTGTTGTTACCTAACTTGCCAATAATTGATCTTATTGTCTTTCTTAATAAGTTATGTACACCATAGCATAATTTCATCTTTTTTTTTTTTCTGATTGAATGTGATATTATTGGTTTCCTAAACATCTAAATGTTGTTTCTTTTAACCTGTAAAGATTTATTTAATCAATGACTTATTGAACTGCAAAGTTCAATCTTAGAGTACTGTAGCAGCTCAACCATAAATTGCTTTCTCCTGGACATGACCACTGACACCATACTAACTTTTCTCGAAGAGTGCAGTATAGATTCAACATCATTACTTAATAAGCATTGGTGATGGGCTTTGAATTTGTTTTTCTTGGTTGGCAGGAAACTAACTGTTGAAGGCTTCTTTCAAAGTTAAACAAATTTGTGATAGCATGCAGTTTATTGATGGCTTGGATTGTTTACTTTAGCAGTTGAAACTACTTTTCTTAGCATTTATCACGAAAATTTGGATTCATCACAACCTTGACTATTTCCGTACAATTATTTGTTTAGTTGGTTCATATGTTATAGTACAGCTACTAATATCTTTCCTTTTTTGCTTGGTGGTATTTTCTTCGGTGAATTACCTTGTATTGCGTTGGATAAAGCAATGCCAACTTTTCATTTGTATTCTGTATAAATGCAGCAATATTTCCTTTGGATCTCATTAGAAGACGTAAACAGTTGGAAGGGGCTGGTGGACGACCACAAGTTTACACGACGGGGCTTTTTGGTACATTTAAGCACATATACCAGACTGAAGGCCTCCGTGGTTTATATAGAGGGATATTGCCTGAATATTACAAAGTGGTGCCAGGTGTCGGTATATGTTTCATGACATATGAAACATTGAAGATGCTTTTAGCAGATATTACCAGAAAATTATAGTTTGTCATCGTATCTCTTGATGTTTGATCTGCGACTGACATGATGGACTGGTTAAATTGGTTATATGATAGCACTCCACAGCACATTTAACTTTCATAGCTCTTCTTGCAGTGGCAAATTTTGTGATGCTGCTGTGAGAAGTATACTTGTCCATGTTAAGTAGATGGAACTGTGACATACATTTCAGAAGTACCCAATGATGTTGTCTGCATCTTTAAGGATGCAATACCAATGGTGATCATCTTTGAATACCCTTTTCCCAGGTTCAAGTTTTTACCAAATTGCGTAAATGACTGGCATGTATCAATGCATTTATAACTTCAAATTTTAGTAATAATTTATCTTCTCTTACAGGAGAAATCTTTCGTAATTTTATCAGCAATGGTTTTTGAAACTTTAGTTGCTGCTCTGTTCTCCGTACCAAGGATATGGTTTGCAAAGCTGGCTTCCCTGATGTCAAAGACTCTTCAGGGAGACATCTGAGCATGCCATCCTTTTTAATTTTTCTTTTCTTTTAGTCATTTATTATTCACAAATTGTAGTTAAGCAGCATTCAATCTCATTGGTATTAACAAACCAATATTGCTTCAGTAAATGTGATATTCTTTTCCATGTTTTCTGGCAAGTCCAAATCTTTTGTTTCTAAGGACACGTTGATTCCTTTGTTGGAATTGGGAATCAAACAAAACAACCAGAAGTTCTGATATCCTACATTATTTTGCTCGAGGAATTATGAACAAACTAAGCATGCGACTTTAATATAGCTTGGCCTTTTTGTCCCCTCACTGACTGGTATATGGACGGTTATGTTTTGTTCCAGGAAAGTTCACAACCATTCTGTTATTGAGCATGAAAATAACAGCAAGGACCAGGGGAAAACAAAAAAAAAAAAAAAAACTTCTTATCGGACAATAATAAAACAAGTTATTTTGCACTTGAAACATCATCTTAACATGTATTGACATAGCACCCAATGAAAATTTTGGGGAGAAGCTATTTCAATCTTCTGTCATAACCTCAATACTTTTGAAAACTGATTTTTTTTAATCAGGGAACAATTTTGAGGAAGAAGGGGGCAACAGAGGGTTTTACAATGGGAAATTCCCTGTTTGTTTAATATGGTCTAAGGTACGACGCAAACCATATTTATTGACAGCTTCATTGGCAGCTCTAAACCCTCCCCCATAGGCAGGGGAAGCATCATGGGCAATTTGGTTCTTGAAAAACTCACCAAGCTTATTTTCAACATTAGACTTTAATCCTTTCTTTGAAGATGAGGAAGATGAAGAAGCTGCTGATGTAGATGCCCTATTGCTTGCTCCAGGCAGTACTTCAGATTCAAGCCACATGTATGATAGCACTTGACAGATACCTTCCTCTACCTCGGGATTTAGATTTCGATACCCTTCATTATTCATGGCGAAAATAAAATAAAAATATCAGTATACAGAAACTTCATCGAAGAATGTGGATTGATAGCGCTTTCCTACCTTTGAGACGTAACCAACCATGCATTAACTCGTGGGCGAGGATTGCTCCAGTTAGTAGTCTGCACTCCATTGAAGATACCAAATAAAGTCAGAATTATTGTTTGAACTTTTACAAGAGATAAATAGGTCTTAAAATTCAGTTCAGCAAGTAATAGACTCAGTCAATTCTTTTTTTTCTTTTTTTTTCAATTACAGTCAGATGTATCTCAGATGTATGTTCAGGTTTTGCCTAGACTTAATCCCTTTTCCGACCAATCTTAAGAGTGCACTCAAGATGTATATAGTTCCTTTGTCAACGAGAAGATTAACTAAAAGTTGTAGGGGATAGGTTAGAACCTATATAACTAGAAATTGATTGATGATACTCAACAATGTTTCAGACCAGTAAAGATTGAACCTTTGGAGTAATTTCATATTTCTGTTAAATAAGCTTGATACATTCCACAAAATAGGATTGTCAATTTCTGATCTTTGTGATTTGCATGCCTCTTGTTGACATGTATGACTCCATTGTCCTTACTCTGAGCTATGTTGCCTAGACAAATGTATATTTTCTAATATTCATTATACTCATACTCAGGTTGAGGGTTGGATAAGGTTGTATATTCTACTATTCATCACACTCCGACTCAGGGTGAGGGTTAGATAAGGGTAGGTGTCCGAGACAGGTATGTTAAATCTTTTTTGAGTTTTTCTTGTACTTCTATATCTATGTCCGTTGAATATGTGTCAGACAAGAGTACTTCAAGAAAATCTGACTTGAAAAGTGAGAAGTGATGGATAAACATTGGTCACTCCTACATGTCTCATACCATGCTCAAATCAGGTAGCCAGATACTAGCATGTCTGCTCTCTACACTTGTGGAAAGCCATAGAAAAACAGTGAAGAAGTCGTAATAGCATAGGGAGCCCGTCTTTCCAAATTATAATGCACTTGATTGCTTAATTTCAGTTCTAATGCAGGAAATATGATAATGACAAAATGCAAGATAAAAGAGTCCATTGGATTTTGCCTTGGAAGACCATAAAGAACTAGAATGGCTGTAACTTCACATTTCCTGGTCAGCTTTTGATGTTGAGTTTTCATTCCAATAAGTTGGCGGCCTCCAATGCGCGGTCTCTTTAGTATCTGTAATGGATAAATTGAAGAAAATGCTTAGTGAATTGTCGTACTATAGTTAGATTTACCTTAACCAACACAGCAAAATCATGGAATTAGTTTGGTTGACATACACTGGTGACTGTCTGCTCTTCAGAGAGACACAAACCCCTTGTCTCAGGCATGTGATGATATCCCTGGAAAGAACCAAACTGAATCAAACCCCATTCCCCAAAACAAATGTGTTAAAACATTGAGCAAGAGTTCATATGTTACATTTTTCTCTCCAACAATAGCTTCATTGAGTGCTTGTCTTTCAACAAGGAGCATTGGAATTTCCTGGTCTAGTTTCATGTTCATTCCTTCATAATAATCTCTGATGGCATGGTAAAGAGGTTGGCAATCACCAGTATCCATGATTGAAGACTCCATGCACTCTAAGCACAAACTGCGTCCATCTTCCAACGAATAGTATCGTACATTCCAAGACTTCAGGAGGAAAATTTTGATGAAAAATGGGGTGAAGGAGGAAAACAACAATAACCAACAGCAACAATTGTTAGCAGAAATTGAAGTTCAACACACATTTTAGTTTAAACTTTTATGAAGTCAAGAAGATACTGCAATCTAATCAAACAATTCCTAGCAATGACTTTAGGTCCGTACCTCCAAACGTTCGCAACTACAGCAGCGAGCTGTGTTATCATGTTCATGTGATGGACAATACTTTTGGGACCAAAATGGATGGCACCTGTACTCTATTAAACCAGCTCCGTTTGTCGGAATCTGAAATTCAATGTCAGAAAATAAGAATGTAATTCATAATAATTATAATTCAAATGATATAATTTAAAACATCCTTACAAATTGGAGACAAACATCACATTTGGGATGTGTCAACTCTTTGAAGCAATTTTTGTGATATGGATTACTCCCTGACGAAGAAAACTTGGATGGCAACGAAAAACAAGTTTAGAGCTGCATACTTAATTTCTCCTGTAATTTTGACAATTTGAAGCTCAACATGATTCAATAAAGCTAGTCTCTTTGGACCAAAGATGAATAAACTACCTCATGCTCGGTGATCGGATAACCACAAGAATGGCAGCGGAAGCAATTAGGATGAAAATATTTTCCCATGCATCCTAAATAATTGCCATATCCAAATTCTCGATGGCATCCAGCACATACTCTGCAAGCCATAGGCATAAACATACTTGTTCAAAAAATGGTTTTAATTAAACATAATCTCACATTGTTTTTTATAACTATGATTAAAAGCTTTTTACCTATATACATCAGGATGATATGCTAATGTGCCATAAGGAGGATATGCAGATGAATTCATGCTACCATCATAAGCTCCCTTTGGTAAATCTCCACCATAATTATCATCCGTCCGCCATTGATTATAACCTGAAAACCATTAACACCGAATTCGTTACACGTAGATAGCTAGATTAAGAGAGACTAAAGATTGATGTGAGGGTCATGGAGGATCAACCCTTGGACATTGTAAACTAACTTACCACTTGGTTTTTCCATATCCTCAGCTAGAGAAAGTGCAATTGCTTGATCCAATTCCTCTTGTTCCTTCTTTGTTCTAGGACGATCATCCTAATGACATAAACCAAATTAGCTGTCAAAAATGTTACATGATTCTCCAAAATTTTCTCTCCTCCTTTGTTACGTTTTTGTTAAAATTTGATTACTAGGATAAAGTTACCGGTATCCTAGGCGGAGCACGAACAACCATGTTTTCTTCCCCCAGAAAATGTGGATTATAGCCACTACTGCCACCGCCACCGCCTCCGCTACCTCCTCGACGACTACTGGAACTGGTCTTGAAAAGCTTCCCCAGCCATTTCAACAGCCTGGATTTTCTCTCTGTGGATGAAGAAACAAAGTCCCCTGCTTTTCCATAAAAACTTCAATATATGCAAAAAAAAGAAAAGAAAAGATATCCTGAAAAAATAAACGAAACAAACCTGCACTCGAACACTATCACAAAACATTTTATCTAACGCATTTGAATTGACATAGATGAGAACAGAAGAAAACGAAACTCCAAGAAATTGTTGAGCGGGACCTATTGATTACTGGCATACCATAATCATGATTATTTACCTGTTATTTACCGCCCTCCACCACTGTTATTTACGGTGCTAGAGGTGTGAGTAGTGATATATCACGTCTATAAATAGCGAAAAATTACCAAGATAACGGATATTAAAACAGTTATTGGTGATTTTTTTTAATATATCTATAAATTTTATACATATTGATTCTAAATTATAATTAAAATATTAAAAAAATTATTTTTACTAAGATTAAAATGTCATAAATTATTTTAAATATAGTAAATAAATATTATTATATCATTTTTTCATTATAAAAATTTAAAAAAATTTCACAATTATCATGAGCTGACAACTTCTATCTTATTCATTATATCTACAATCGCAATAATAGTAACGTTATTAAAAATACGGCCACGATAGCATTTTAAATCCCTGACTATAATTAAAAAAAAATTATTAGACATTTTAATCAAAACAAAGAAAAACAGAACAAAACGAAACTCGAAAAATGATCGAGAGCAACAAACAGAACAAATGAAAGGTGATTCAAATACTATATGAAACAACTCTGATCGAAGCAAAACAGAGAAAGGAACTCAAAAAAAAAAAAAATGAAGGGTAACCCTGTAACGGGAAAACTACAGGAAAAATTGTAGCATAAAACACATTAGGAATGAAACAGAGAAAAACAGAGCGACGAAGAAAGACGAAGAGCATACCATAGATGCAAGGATGAGAGAGATGGTTGACATTTGAGGGAGGAGGAGGAGCCATGGAAGTAGAAGAGAGGAATTTATTTATCAACAATCGCCAGAATTTATCGATTAAAATGACCCGAAACGAAGAAGAAAGAAATGGGAGAGGGAAGAAAGAACCATTGTTAAAAGAAGGGACAGAGAAAGAAGAATCTGAAGGAGAGAAAGTAAGCAAAGAAGAGGAGAGATTCTTGGCTTGAGAAAGTGGAAGGAATATTTGAGTAAAAGAAACCGAAAAAAAGGAAAACAAGATTTAAAATTTAATAAAATTAAAAAAGCAAATTTGAACTTTGTGGACGGTTTAGAATTTCTATGAGAAAAGCTTTTTTGTATCTGAGCTGGAGAAGGAATTTCGATTTCATAGCTTTTCTTTGATCGGTTGCTTTCAGGCTTGAGAATGTTAGATTTGGAATGTTAGGAACAATGACAGCTAAATGAAACACAAACGGTGCTCCGCGACGAGTGCAGTTGGAACCTAACTCTAGGCTTTGTTGCTTGCAGGTTCACTTTGGTCTTAACATTTTCTTGTTCTCCTTTGATATTCTCCAAACCCTCTTGTGGAAGATAGAACAATCACTTTTTTGAAGAAATTCAGCAATTAATTTTTTGTGGAATTAAATTTGTTGATGGTGTTTTTGGATGTTTTAACTGGAAGGAAGAGAGTGAGGTGGAAGGATAAGACAGCAATGACCTGCAGTTAAAAAACATGGTTAGAGGGTGCTGAAGTTATTACTCCGAGCGCTTTTCGACACTCAAGTTAGTACTGAGGTAGGATTAGGAAGTAAAAAAGAGGATAAGGATGGCGAAGTGTGTGTGAGAGGCTTAAATGAAGAGAAAACTCAAGGAATGATGGGTCAAGTGTTACATTGAGTATCTGATTTTTCACCTACTTCTTGCTTGAAATCAAGAGTTACGGCCTGATTGAGACAATTGACAAGTGATAGTTTATAGGATGTTTACGTTGAGCTCAAGAAGCATCTAGGTAAATAGATGAAAATTGTATTTAATGATGCAGATAGTCTCTAGCTGCATTTAATGATCTCATGCAAATTGGGCGTTAATGAGTCAGTTCTGAAATGATTGTTTTAAGAAGTCATTGGTAGGTTATTGGATGAGTCCCTTTTTTGGTGAAAGGCGAGACGTTTCTTAGAGCAAGTGACATGGTTGCTTGGATATATTTCACCTAGGCGATCCAAAGATCTAACTGTATTAACCAAACTTTGATCATTAATCAGTTGACTTAAGCACAAGAAAATTCACATTTTGTTTTTGTTTATACCATTACTAGCTAGAACATTATTAATTTTGATTCTTCCTTCACTTCTATAGCATCAAAGCTTGTTTTACAGTATATCAGAGGATGAATTACAAGTTTGTCAGGGTGTCATTTAAGTTTTTCAATTTCTTTTTTTTGAATCCATTTCAAAATTATTCTAGCTTATATTGCTCCGACTCTTCATTTTCTTTAAAGAAATTGGCATCTGACATGTCCGAGACATGGGTAAAGAGGTCCAACCCTTCAAATATACAAATTTTTTTTGAAAAAATGAACGTACCCGTGTTTAACACATACTACAATCTAACACTCATTCAGAGTTCGAGTAACATATAGGTAGGTAGTGGCATTAATAACATTTAACTTTGGGTTGATTGTTAACACTCACTAGAGAGTGATGACATGCATATGTAATCGTTTAATAACAGAGATACTATACTTGATTTGGATTATGGTGAACAACATATGAGTAACCCATCAGCCTGAATATATTCCTTTGCTTGTTCCATAATTTTATTAGCCATTGCTTTTACAAAAGGAGATTTATTGTTGCTTAAACAAAGATTTGTTGCTTTAATATTCTGGGAAAGTCAGTTCCTTTCTTTCATCTTAAAAAAACTTTGGGATCATTTTAATGTCTATTACTGCAAACCAAACTTTAGATTTTTTTAAGGTCTTTTGAAGCTGAGACAGAATCATATTCCTTGACAGAGTTTGCCATGTGGTCATCTGAAAAACAACCGAAAATTTGTTAACAAAGATTTCTTTTGTTAATTTATCTTTGAAAAGGCCATTCATGTCAATAATTTGAGGATATGAAAACACTGGAAAAAGATTCGTTTCTGTTAAATTTTCTTAGAAAGATTGATAAAATCAGGGAAAGAAATTTTGTGAACAACCTTATAGGCATGCTTGGATCAGCATGAACAGGATGTTTAACAAGGAAGCGCGTGTTTTTCCTGGAAAAGTAACTAAACAAATGGTCACCCAGGTTATTTTTAACTGACAAATGACTAAAATTTTCAATTTCCTAACCTAATTTTCTATCCTTGAACCAATTAAACATTTTAAGTTAGAATTTACTTATAATCTAAAACAAACAGACACGACACGAATACGATACAAAAATAAATTACAGAAGTGACACGAATTAAAATTTTAGTAATAATTATATATATTTAATAAATCTAAAAAATATATAATTTATATTTTTGTGACGATATTAATTATGATTTATAATTTTCATGTAAAATAAATATAAATATAAAAATTTTAATATTTTACATGATACAAATACATAAATTATAAGATATTTGAAGCTTGAAAATAGATATAGATTTTGTAGGGGCATCCTTCATTTGTCAATCATTTGAAAAAGATTTCAAGAGTAAAATCCTTAATGCATCAAACCACGTTAGGGGCAGTGAAGTGCCCCTACAAAAATCCCATAAGTCTTTTTAAATATATTATGATATTAGACAAAAATTTTAATATTTTTACATTTTGCCTCCGCTAAATTGAAAAATAAAGAATATAAAAAGTAAGGATTTACAAATATTATAAAGTATAGGTATGCTTTAGTAAAAAAAAATTGACTAATTTCAAAAAAAATAAAATATTATATATAAATATTAATAAATATTGGTTTAAAAATAATTATTTCATGTAAATCTCGCTTTATCTAACTTAAGTTATAACTTCATATTACTTTTTTCTCTTTTGCCTTCATATGTCTATTCTCCTCTCTTTCCATTTACAAACTTCTTTTTTTTTTGTTTTACTTATGTGAAATATCATTATATTATTGTAAAAGTATTCAAATCAAGCATAAAATGATAAAATATTTGTAAAAAAAAAAAAAACTTAAATTAAAGTTAAACTAATCTTGTATAGTAAAATATAGATAATGAATAAAATGGAATTACAACAAAATACTCATGATACAAAAAATTTATTTTTAACATATCAAAGTACTTCTTCTTTTGTTATTTTTTTTATATTAATAATGTGATAAGATGTTTTTTTTTTAAATTATCTAGAAATTTTAATAATATGTGTTTAATATAAAATAATGTTGTAGAGATGTAACCTAACAAAATCTAAAATTTAGAAAAAAAAAATAATATCAATTTTAAAATTATTAAAAAAGTTTAAAAATATATATATAAGTAGCATGTTATTGGTCCTATTTTGTATTTTCATATCTTATGTCTTAAAAACTATAGAAAAATTAAATTTGAATTTGATTTAAGTTAGTTAAAGACAAATATTATTAGTAAGAGAAAGTATATTTTAAAAGAAATATCTGAAATTGAATAAAGTTATATATCTTTTAATATTAATAATAAAAAAAAAATCTTTCATTTTTTACTTATGAAAATTATTAACTCAATTATATAGGACTATTTTTATTTGAAAAATGATAACATTATGTGTTTGTGTTTATTTAATATTTACAATTTTCATATATTTAATATTATATGTTTTTGTTATATTTGTGTTAATTTCTATTTAAACTTTTTATATATTTGATATTGTAAAAAAATATTTCAAATTCTATTTATTAAAACTCTATTTTACATTTAGAAAACATTACCTTTACATTGAATAAAAAAAATTTAATAAATATATTATATAATAAATTTATCCCCACTAAAAAAAAATTTAGATCCGTCCGTGCATCAAACCATGTGGAGAATGTGCCCTTAAACTTGCCCGAGAAGAGATTAGGTTCAAAATTGATGATATTCCGGACCCTGTTAGAAAAGTATGAGCCTGACAGTATGGAAGATATTCCCATGTGTTGGACGACTCACACTTGAGTCTGAGCAACTCAGTATAAGCAAAAAGAATCAGTAAGATCTAGGAAAAGAAATAAGGAAAAAAATGGAAAGGTTCCCTTGAAAAAAACCAGCTATGGGCGTATTTAATTGATCTTTTAGTAGATCTAACGATTTCAAATACAATACAATAGTATATAATAAAAATGATAAAAATAAAATATATAAAAATAATATAATTTAAAATTTTAATAAAAATCACTAATAAATTTAATAAAATTAAATAAATATATTTTATATTTTTGTATCAATAATAATTATGATATATAATTTTTATGTAAAATATTATATAAATACATAAATTTTTAATATTTTATTTTATATAAATATATGAATTATCAAATTTATCTTTTAACCCTTTATCGGTATATCTTTTTCCTGTTTAAGCGGAACATCCACATCATTCTTTTGCAACTTGCGAGTTGCAATTGTTGAATCTCAAGGAACATTTTATCCCACTACCAAAGTTCTTTTATTCAAGTTGAAGAGAGCAGAGAAACGAAAATGCCATTAAAAAGGAGGTAAAATGGGTTGACTAATATCAAGATATAATACTAATTATATATAATTCATGCATGATCTAAATTTGCCTTTACTGTTTAAGATTCCGTCCCCTTTATTGTTCATTAGACGACTAACTGGAAGCATTTGGATAATTGCTGTCTCAAAATATGTTTTTCCATTTTCTTTTTCTTGGCACAGTTTGTTCAAAGGATTCTATGTTTCTACTTCTGGACAGTATTTTTTTTTTCCTGGAAAATTGACAATGGTACGTAGGAGAAGCCTGTTAGGCTACTGTAATCGGACTGATTTAATCATCGAAGTGCGCTCTGAAGGTGCTCTTAACTGTTTCTATCTTGCAGGTTTTTCAATCGAACAACATCATAAACAACTACATACAGTGATTTTCTCCCTGGAATAAATCCAATATCAATCAGAGCAATTTCACAGCCAAATTTCTAGAACTAAAGCTAGAGATTGTCTGTTCCTTAGCCTCC